GCCGCAGTGGCGGTGGGAACGGCAAGAAATGTGGGGAGGAAAAATTCCGGAGGACCAAAATGCACCGATCAAATGTTGATGGGCAGTGCGGGCTTTCGCACAGACCCATTCACTAGAGCCGCAGGTGAAAGTGAGACCAGTGGATGATCTAGCTTGGACGAAAAGGATCTTGTCGCTCGGATGAACACGACGTTTCAGGTCAAACAAACTGTGGAATCAAAACACCTCTTAGAGTTGCGAGGAAAATGTGCATCTGCCCGGCAATGTTCCATGTGCTAAATTGCATTTGATGTTTGCTGGTGACCGGCAGCCATGAAATGCTTGAGGCAGTGAAATCTCATTGCTTTCAATCAGCGACGAACGCGCAACTATTGGCATGACGCGCACATACATTCTCTGTGCGTGTATGGTGCATACTAAATAGACACGTACCACTACACCGGCTCCTTCGCTCCTTAACCGCATCTATCCCGCCACACCGATCACTTTTCTCCTTTACCGCATCTATCCCGCCACACCGATCACTTCGCTCCTGTACCGCATCTATCCCGCCACGCCGATCACTTCGCTCCTTTACCGCATCTATCCCGCCACGCCGATCACTTCGTTCCTAAACCGCATCTATCCCGCCACACCGATCACTTCGCTCCTTTACCGCATCTATCCCGCCACACCGATCACTTCGTTCCTAAACCGCATCTATCCCGCCACACCGATCACTTTTCTCCTTTACCGCATCTATCCCGCCACGCCGATCACTTCGCTCCTTTACCGCATCTATCCCGCCGCACCGATCACTTCGCTCCTTTACCGCATCTATCCCGCCACACCGATCACGTCGCTCCTATACCGCATCTATCCCGCCACATTATCTAGCAGCACATTATCCCCAGCGGTCAGGGCTGTCGGAGAACGGGGTGGATGCTGTCGGCCCGCTGCCGATGTGGGTTTGGCCGTGCCTATTCGCTGCCACGATGTCTGTTCTCTCGATGCGCCATAGTTGGACGCATTGTTGTGTCGGTGTTTTGTTGCACCAGCACCACGATAGAGGTATTCACTCATACACTTGACGGGCATGTCTGAGATCATGCCTGTATCACGGGCCCGGGCGCATCTGTTCACATACATCATGCACGCAGCATGGTCTGCACGTACGCCGTCCGCTTTCCGATCTGACCCTGGCGGTCGCCCAGGTCTGCCCTGTTCGCGGCACCGTCTGGCCGCGCACCCGTTGCGCCGCGTCCTACCGCAACGCTCCTCCCCGGGATAGGTCAACGCGTGGAACGGCCCGCACGCCCCGCCCCCCCCCCCCCCTCCCCCACCTCCCGTCACTGGGTCGGTTGCAGATGAGCTTGCCGCTCTCGCAGGGTGATAGGGCAGAGTGCACTAGCGCATAGGGTATATGTGAAGGAACCGTAAACGGGGAAGGGAAGGCAGAGGCCTTTTGGCGAAGTTTAATTTTTCATATCACCTTGATGCACAAGAGGGACCACTGAACCCAATGTGGTCTTCCCACTTCCTGGGAAATTCCTATGCCTCTCGAGCGGAGCTACCCTGGAGTTGTTCTCAAATTGGCTCTGATTTCGCTTCAGATCAGCTGATCTGTGCATCAGCTGGTTTTGAGACCTGTGCTGACCCATTTGCTTTGCCCTCGCCCCGCCAGATCGGTGAGGCGCGGCGGCGCCACCGCCTGTGTGGCGTTGGGCCCGTAGACGCGACGTGATTGGAACGGCGGATCGGGCCTTGGTGCCGTCCCCGACCGGTGCAGTCGCTGGCAGACTGTTTAGGTTGGAGCGCTGTCACAACCGGACGAATCCATCGGTGTTGCGGGGTCATCGCAGCGGCGGGCCAAATGCGCGCTTCGCAGGGCTGGGATGACGGGACGGATGACAGCTGTGTGAGGCAGGAGGAAGGCTGGGATGACGGGACGGGTGACAGCTGTGTGAGGCAGGAGGGAGGCTGGGATGACGGGACGGGTGACAGCTGTGTGAGGCAGGAGGAAGGCTGGATACGACGGCAGAGGAGCTGGGATGACGGGACGGTGACATCTGTGTGAGGCAGAGGGAGGCTGGGAGTACGGGACGGATGACAGCTGTGTGAGGTGCAGGAGGGAGCTGGGATTACGGGACGGGTGACCCGCTGTGTGACTCGGAGGGAGGCTGGGATGACGGACGGTGACAGTCTGTGTGGGCGGAGGAAGGGCGGGATGACGGAGCGCATGACAGCTGTGTGGGGTAGGAGGAAGGCTGGGATGACGGGACGGATGACAGCTGCGTGAGGCAGGAGGAAGGCTGGGATGACGGGGTGCATGACAGCTGTGTGGGGTAGGAGGAAGGCTGGGATGACGGGACGGGTGACAGCTGTGTGAGGCAGGAGGAAGGCTGGGATGACGGAGCGCTTAACAGCTGTGTGGGGTAGGAGGAAGACTGGGATGAAGGGACAGGTGACAGGTGACGGGACGGGACGGGACTTCCTCCTACTCGTGTGGGGTAGGAGGAAGGCTGGGATGACGGGACGGATGACAGCTTTGTGGAGCAGAAGGAAGGCCGGGGTGACGGGACGGAAGACAGCTGTGTGAGGCAGCAGGAAGGCCGAGGTGACGGGACGGGTGGCGGCTGTGCGGGGCAGGAGGAAGGCCGGGCTGGCGGGACGGGTGACAGCTGTGTGGGGCAGGAGGAAGACCGGGTTGACGGGACGGGTGATAGCCATATGGGGCAGGAGGAAGGCCGGCGTTAATGGACGGGTGGCAGCTGTGTGAGGCAGGAGGAAGGCCGGGGTGACGGGACGGGTGACAGTTGTGTGGGACAGGAGGAAGGCCGTGGTGAATAGACGGGTGACAGCCGTATGTGGCAGGAGGAAGGCCGAGATGGCGGGACGGGTGACAGTTTTGTGGGGCATCATGTGATTGCCGCATTGCCGAAAAAAGTGAGGGCAGGAGAAGCGGCGACGAAGAGGCTCACAGCACCGAAACGTGTCCAACTGCACAGCGCGGCTGGCTCGGTCGCTGCGTTTCCTCTGCAGTCTCATGCCAGATGAAGCTGCGCGCCATCGCTATGCCCCTCCGCCCCGGGCGCCTCAACGCCATCCCGCGGGGCCTGACCCGGGCCCGCTCCCGTCGGCTCCTGTCGGTCCGGCCGCGTCGGTCTCGACGCCCGTCGGTGATCGATGGAGCGGGCCAGCTCGCGCGAGGCTCGCGGGACCGGCGGGGCCCGCGGGACCGACGCACGTGCGCCGCGCCGGGAGAGCTCGGAGGAAGAGCGAGTGGGGGCCGCAGGAGCTGGAGGTGGCGTGCGAGATTGGAGGGGCGTGTAGTTCTGGAGTGCGGAGGGGTTGGAGATTGTCAGTGCAAATTCAGCCGTGATGGTAGTGCCGTAAATCGCTGGTGCTCCACGAAGGTTTCCCCGCGTTCCGAATATGCCCTCTTCCAGTGCTACGTCCAACACACTACTGCGTCAGCGTGCAGGTTTAGTTTCCATTTTGTTCTGTAGTATGGACTTGACTACATTAAAACTGTACGGAACCGCGGATAACTTCCCGACGCCGTCCAGAGCTATGTCGGGCTGCGCTCTGCAGTGAGCGGCAGTTGTGGTGTGAAAGCACTGCGTCGGGCAGAGTCCGCGGCGTCCAGTGCATCGAGCTGTTTCGCTCCAAGGCCGCATGTCTGTTCTGCGTCACGTGCAATTGCCCACATGTTCTTCGGGATAACATGCGAGACAGCCGGAATGGGACGGAGCCAGCGTCTAATTGGTGTTCTGGTCTATTATTTTAGTGAGGCAAGCGTGTTCTCAATGAGTGCACCGAGTGTTGGCCTCGCCGAAGAAGCTCAATGGCCTCATTGCCCCAGCCAAGTAAAAAGGAAACTGCCAGTTGCCTCAATCTGGCGACGGTCGTGCAGCCGCTCCTACGGACGGGGACGCTTCGTTCGCGCGGCTCGCGAAGACTGAGCAGCGCGTGCGTGCACTGTGTACTGAGGCAGTTAAATACTTGTCTCGTTTATTGTCCACGAAATGACGGACATATTTCATCCTCAGGAGGCATAGCGCAAAACGACGCTTGCGTTTAACTGGAACAGAACCAACCTCCCAGAATTCCAAATTTCTCTCCCCTCCGTTATGCGTCATTGCCCGTTGTCCCCTCACTAATATAGCCTTATACTTGCCTCGTTTGTCGCGACTTGAGAGCAGACCTTATGGAGGTGGGCGGGGAGGCCCTGCCTGCTGCCAGTGCTGCCTAGCGGCATCTCTGGCACAGGCCCGAGCACCTGGGCCTCGCAGAAAATCCAATTACGTGTAATGAAATTCCGACGGTGCGCTCGCGACGCCGCTTCGGTTAGTCGGCTGCTGTGAAAGCCCTGAACTCCGCCGGCGCGCGCGCCTAATTGGTTTCCATGCTGAACGCTACCATTTGCGGGAGGCTGCGAGTTTTCCAGGCTCATAACGCCGCCGGCCATGATTGGTGGCTTTGGGTGGGCGGGCAATCACCGGCGGACGGGGCACTAGTTATGAAGGGTCGCTCGCCGGCGGTCTCCATTTGGACGGCTGCTATGAACCTACACGTTCGTTAACTGCGAGAAGGGAACAGAGTGCGTATCTCAACAGTTCTGAATGACCTGTCGTTTCTGTCCTTTGAAACTGGAAGTGCATTCTTGGAAGCTCGCCGTGATGACAGCTTTATAAACTTGTGAAGTCCTGATGGAGTCGTTGATGAGAGAGCCATGCATTAAAGCCGCTTACCTCGACTTTTGCACCGACCCCTACATTACAAGAACTCATGCATGCTGACGGGCCGGTGCTTCGTGACTCGCCGTTCGTTGACCTGGTTCCAACCAGCGAACCCCGTCCTGACAACAGCCCTCTGACGTCCGTGTCAGCTTGTCACGTGGGAGTGCACATGCTCCTAACGTGCCGACTGATCTTGACGCCGAGTCCCGTTGCATGATTCTGGCGGACCGGGCGGTTGAGGGCGGTTCGTGTGCTGACGCGTGGCGCCCGTGTCCACAGGCGGTACCTGATCCTGGCGAGCCGGGTGGTGCGTCCCGGCCACCCGTACCGTCTCTCCGTGGACGTGTTGCGCTCCCGGCTGCCGATCATCGTGCGCGCCGTGCTGTACCGCGACTCGGTGCGGCTCAGCCAGCTGCAGCGGGCCTGCACGGCCGACCAGATGGAGCTCTTCGAGATAGCGGTGAGCGCTGCCTGGACGGCGCAGGTGCTGGCGCTGCCGTTGTGAGAGAGCGGAGCCGCGCGCCGTGCACGCGACGAACTGAGCGGCTCGGGCTGTTGGTGAAGACGGCTGATCGGGCGGAGCGGTACAAACTGCTGACGAGCTCTAGGGACTCTGGTGACCGGGAGAAGGGGGCTTCACACGACCTCTTCACCATTTGCACACGCTCCACTGGCTGGGCCTCGTTACGTCAATGGTATTACCGGACCGTAACTCTATCGTGCTCTCCTCTCCGTCGCGACGGCGATCGTGCGCATCCGCGCGGTGCCCGCGCCGCGCCTCCCGCTCCTCCCGCGCCTCCCGCGCTCCTGCCTCCCCGGGGACGGGCCATCAGGTCACCGGCCGGAGCGGGCTGGATCGGCTCCGGTCACGGCGCCCGGCGCGGTGACGCCGCGCCGACCGGCAGCGCGGGGTCGCGTTTTAAGCGGTCGCGGCCGGATCGACGCGCCGGATGCATCGGTCGAGCGGCCGTTCCGGAGCGAGGGCAGATAGCGCGCTGGTGATGATCCGAAAGTAGCTCATCTTTTGCGGGGTGGAGCGCGGCGAGGCGACGGAGATCGGTGATAGCACGCTCCGGTGAGCGGTGCGCTCGAGGTGCGCCAACTTTGGGCATCAGTGACCTGAAGTCAGACTGGTTTTCTGGCACGCTCCTTCATGATAGTCCTGCTTCGGTGGTAACTGACTGCGAGAAAATATCCGAGACACGGATATTGGCAGCGCGAGCGAAAAGCATGTCAGGTTGAAGGGCTCTGTTTTGATCAGCTTTTGCCTTTTTATTCAGGTCCTCTTTCCACCGTCTGAGATATTCCACAAACTCCCACTTCTCAGGGACGGTGCGAGAGCACGAACTGAAGCAAACTCCCGCTGCCAGCGATACTGTCATGACATTTCTGATCTCGACGCGTCCTGGCTGTACCTTTCTTTCTCAGTGCACTGTCGCCCCGGCGTCCGGACAGCTCGGCCGTCCACCTCGCGCCCCTCAGCCCTCGGCTGCCGCATCAGCAGCGGCCGGCCGGCCGTCGGCCCGGCGGGAGGGGGTGAGGCCACGGGCCGCGCACTGCTTGGCTTCCGTTGATACCGACGCCGAACAACAGCCCCCGTCCCCGTCCCCCGCCCGCCGGAGGGTCGGCTGAAAGGGGGCAGATGTGGCGCGCGCGGCTAATCCGGCGCGGGGCGCCACAATCGCTGGACGAGCGGCGCCGATCGGGCCGACGTTTCAATGGCGGCCGGGCGGGCCGGGCCGCGGCCGCCGGGTCAGGGCGCGGAGCATAAGGGAGGCACGGGTGAAAGGCGGACGGCTGCAGGGGAAACAGATGGGTGCCGATTCATGAAGATAGATACTGATCTCATGGAGGTTAGGCGCTCCGCAAGCCTGGGTCGAGGTAGCTTCGTTCACGCTAAACATGAATACCAGTTCAGTCGTGATGACGCGAAATATACCACATTATGGGATGTCCATGGGTACGATGTACCGATTTCATTGTTGACGGGAAATATGTAGCATTTTAGACCGCTTACGATGTAGGCGTGAATTCAGTTTGATAATACTGATGATGTGATTTACTTGTTGAAAACGTTATGAGATGAAGTGCGTTTGTGTACGCATGATTATTGAGTTGTAGTATATTTTTTCGTAGATACGCACGCTGTTTAAAGGCGAGTGCCCAGTCTGCAGGCACGCTCTCAGCGTGCGGACCCGTAACCGGATCGGCTCTCTTGGAACTGGCGCTCTGTTGACGGCGGTCCGCGTTTTCGTGTAACTGCGTCATTAATCATGTGTGATCTGCATCCCGTGTAGAAAACCGCGGCATTGTCCCGCGGCCGCCCGGCTTTTACGACACATTCACCCGCTTGTTAGAAAGTTGTCAAACAACGTAGCGTGGGATGTCGTGCTGTTCAGTTTGTTATGAACGATTGTAAAATACGAACGACTTTAAAGTGTGCCGTCGCAAATGGCAGTAACTCCTCAGAGCGAACTGTATGTTTGTTACATGTCGTTCCTGAGTTTGTGGTGCCTCTTAACATGCGATTCTGACACGACATCTCTGGTTTGCTCTGCAAGCAGCACATACCGGCGGGTGCATCTCCAACCCACTCCCTGACCTCATACTGTGCCAAACCCTCCCACCAACCTGGCCCTCCTTCTTCCGCACATCAAAGACACCGTCGTGTGTTTGGCGCGTGCCGGTGAATCCCCGCCGCGGGACCCGGCACCGCCCCGAGCGGTGACACGCGTGTCACGCACAATGCGCGTGCGTCGGCCCTGTTGTGGTGCAGACTCCGGCGCCTCTGGCCTGTTTATCGACGCCTGGGAGACCGCGGCCCCCGACCCGGAACCGACACGCCGTCCAAACTGGTCCACTGGGACTGGCGGATAGATGCACCGCGCGGTTCAGTAACCCGTGGTCTTGTTTGTCCTGATGATGGGCGGTAGGACTGGTAAAGCTGATAATAGCAATGATAATGATAACAATTACATAACATGAATGCCGCTTTGTTTTCTTTCAGGCATTTTGTTTGCGCTTGAAAGGAAAATATCACCTTACCTGCGACGGAGTAAAGGTGCAAATTTTGTTTTAAAATAAGAGTTACGGTGTTTGAAAATGTATGGTATGATTGGTGCGAAATGCGTTTCCGTCCTATGTTTGCCGCCAGATTGGCGGTTCTTATCCACCAGCATTCAGTGAATTAGAGAATTTTCGTTCAGGTCTGCATGGTGATACTCATCGTTCCCACTTCACGGCCAGCTGTGAGTTTGCTTTCTTCGGCCAGCGCCGTCATCGACTCCTCCCCGACAGCGCCACCGACTGCCATCGGGTCCCGGCACCAGCTCCCCTCCCCTCCGTGTATGCACCAACACCCTCGATGGTCAAAAGTCCGTGGGGTGCAGTGTGGCCTATCTGCGGGAGGCGAGCTTGCCTCAGAATTGTACTGCCCCCTCGGCGTCCCGGTAACAAATAAGGCACATACTCAACTTATGCATCATGGAGGGCACGGCCGCTTCCGACTGCCTGGAGTTGGAAGGGAGCTGCTGCGCGATGCCCGTGACGCCACTCGAGTAGGACTGTGTGAAGGGGTGCTGCCGTCGTCTATAGTTCTTTCGTTATACGTCATGTGACACCAGCAGGCACTCGCTGTCCGGACGTCCGTCCGTCCGCTGCGAACACATCACGTCTTGGTATGGGCGCGCGGCGGCGGTGTCCAGGAAAATCACGGGTCCTGAGATCCGTGCCGTCGAGCCCAGAGCCGCACTGAAGTGTGTCCGGACGGCTAAGGTCGGCTGGGTCCCACCGCCAGGCCGTGAGCCTCGCGCGGCTTAACTGCCGACGCTCAGGTCGGTGCGGTGACGGAACAGGCGGTAGCGGTGAACTGATTTGGGCTTGGCATGGTGCGGGCCGCCGTCGGACGGTGAGGGGGGTGTCCGTCGCTGGCAGGCGACGGACGGTGAGGGAGGTGTCCGTCGCTGGCTGGCAACGGACGGTGAGGGAGGTGTCCGTCGCTGGCAGGCGACGGACGGTGAGGGAGGTGTCCGTCGCTGGCAGGCGACGCTGTCGGTGAGGGAGGTGTCCGTCGCTGCCGTCGGACGGTGAGGGAGGTGTCCGTCGCTGGCCGCCGTCGGACGGTGAGGGAGGTGTCCGTCGCTGGCAGGCGTCGGACGGTGAGGGAGGTGTCCGTCGCTGGCAGGCGACGGACGGTGAGGGAGGTGTCCGTCGCTGGCAGGCGACGCTGCCGGTGAGGGAGGTGTCCGTCGCTGGCAGGCGTCGGACGGTGAGGGAGGTGTCCGTCGCTGGCCGCCGACGGATGGTGAGGGAGGTGTCCGTCGCTGGCAGGCGTCGGACGGTGAGGGAGGTGTCCGCGGGCCGCCGTCGGACGGTGAGGGAGGTGTCCGTCGCTGGCAGGCGACGCTGCCGGTGAGGGAGGTGTCCGTCGCTGGCAGGCGTCGGACGGTGAGGGAGGTGTTCGTCGCTGGCCGCCGTCGGACGGTGAGGGAGGTGTCCGTCGCTGGCCGCCGTCGGATGGTGAGGGAGGTGTCCGTCGCTGGCCGCCGTCGGACGGTGAGGGAGGTGTCCGTCCCTGGCAGGCGACGCTGCCGGTGAGGGAGGTGTCCGTCGCTGGCAGGCGTCGGACGGTGGGGGAGGTGTCCGTCGCTGGCCGCCGTCGGACGGTGAGGGAGGTGTCCGTCGCTGGCCGCCGTCGGACGGTGAGGGAGGTGTCCGTCGCTGGCCGCCGTCGGACGGTGAGGGAGGTGTCCGTCGCTGGCCGCCGTCGGACGGTGAGGGAGGTGTCCGTCGCTGGCCGCCGTCGGACGGTGAGGGAGGTGTCCGTCGCTGGCCGCCGTCGGACGGTGAGGGAGGTGTCCGTCGCTGGCCGCCGACGGACGGTGAGGGAGGTGTCCGTCGCGACGCTGCCGGCCAGCCCAGCGCCTGGCTGGCTCTGCGGTCGCCATGCAGCGCCTCCGAGTTGGCTTGTAGCAATGCCACTGGCGTTACGAAGGCTTGATTTTTCTGAGCACGGTCAGCCTAACCAGCTTGTGGTGCGGATGTGTGCGTGGCGATCAACCGGCCACGGGAAGGGTGACGAGCTGCTCTAAGAACGATAGCGATGTGGTGTGAGTGGGCCACTTGAGAGACACCGCTAACGGCTGCTGAAAAATTACCCATCTGATCTCCCGCCATCACAGTGAAATGAAGAGCCGCCTTCTGTCCGAACCGCAGATCGCGATTCCGGAGACTGCGTCTGTCCGGCCAGCGCGTCCGACGCACGAGAGCGTGTATTTTCGCGGGCGTGCATTCGCCTGCTTTGCGCAGTCCGAACCCGTCGACTAATATCGTCCTTGCTTCCTGCTGGGCCGCTCTCACACGCCCTGGCCATGACCCCTCGGCGCTCGATCGGAGCTAGGCTGCCGATGGGAAGCGATATCGACTTCCGTGATGGTGATGTGCGAGGTCATCGTATCGCCTCTGGCTTGCGGTTCACAAACTGCAGGCAGGAGGCTTGCGAGTCAAGCGCGTGTGTGAAAACCGGGAGCCTCGCTGTGCATTGTCGCCCTGGGTCTGGATGGTAGAATCCTTTCCTGCGCTGTTTTCATGCAGTTGGCTATGGCATGACCGTTTAGGCTTACACTGGCCGTAAAGTATGGATGCATGTCCATGATCCATATCAAGGCAATTTTCACATGACCCAATCGTTGTGATTTCATACCAGATCTTTGTGACTTGTGACCGTGGAGCATTGGCAAGCAGTGGGCAGTTCGCCTTTCACGCTGCGACTGCTTACATGACCTAGCTCGGAATCTGCTGCCAGGCACCAGCCAGCAGTGGCTGGACCGGGGCATTATGGGCCGGAGTTGTCCCATCTCTCCTCAGGTACTCGGTTACCCTGTCCGAGTGGGTGCAGTTGCGAGCTGGTCTGACCCGTGTGACCTTCGCAGGTCCCGGCCAACAGCGGTCCCGGCGAGTACAGTCTGCTGATGGAGGGGAACGAGCAGGACCAGCTGGAGGGCTCCATGTTCCGGAACCGGACCGACCTGCGCTTCGAGGCCCGTTCGCTGACGATGCTGGTGCAGATGGACAGCCCCGTCTACCGGCAGCTGCAGACGGGTGAGGCAACCTGGACCTTTCCGAGAGGGGGGAGGGGGGGGGGGGTTCAGCGGTCACGTTGTGCGTAAGTGCAGAGAGGTGATGCCATGGGGGGGGGGGGGGGGGGAGGGGCGCGTGGAGATCACTATATCCAATGTAAGGTCCTCGGGTGAGCTTGTGGTGCTGGAGTCCATCACGGTGCTGTGGTATTCTCCGCGTCACCGGCCATGGCTGCTGGCGGCAGGACAGGCAGTCTGCTCAGTCCGAGCTGGCCGGGCGTCAGCAGCACCACGTCACCGGCCATGGCTGCTAGCGGCAGGACAGGCAGTCTGCTCAGTCCGAGCTGGCCGGGCGTCAGCAGCACCGCGACACCGGCCATGGCTGCTAGCGGCAGGACAGGCAGTCTGCTCAGTCCAAGCTGGCCGGGCGTCAGCAGCACCGCGACACCGGCCATGGCTGCTGGCGGCAGGACAGGCAGTCTGCTCAGTCCGAGCTGGCCGGGCGTCAGCAGCACCACGTCGATACTCGGCGCCGCGCGGTTATCGGTCTGCTCTGCTGCGCCACCGTCCGGGTTCGGCGGGCCCGGTTACACTGTAACGCTGCCACCGGCCGGTTGCCGCCCCCTCCCCCGCCCATTAGCCGGGCGGGGTCGGTGTCCGGCCGGAAAAAATCGCCGCCGGAGGGTACGTCACTCAGTGAGCAATCAGCCGCCCCGGGGCGTCCCCCGCGGCGCCGGAAGCGCGAAAACCGTGCCGCCGGCTGCCGGTCGGGGCAGGTCGCTGCCGACCGCGCGGGTGTGACCCTGGGGCGTGATGTAGGCACGTTTGGGGCGGTGGGGGTGCCGCGCCGCCGCGATGCATCGCACGGTTGGCTGAGATTCCCGGAATGTGAGGCCACCGCACGCTGTTCATCCGGCGGGCTGATTCAGCACGGAAGTGGATGCCGTCTTTGAAGCTAGCTTACATCACCGAATGACTTCGCCTGGTTTTTTGGAGCGCTTTGAGTCGTCAATGAAATCACAATCAAGTAAGCCAACCACAATAAGCAGAGAATGTCGCTACTGTCTGAGGACGGGCCGCTCGGCTGGCCTTCCGCATGACTCAACGACGTCCTAGAATTTTAACCGAAGAGCACCAATGACGGTATCGCCGTATCACCGCGAGGTTAAACTTAAACTGCACGCAAGCGTGTTCAGTATGGGCTGAGTAAACCAGCCAAATGGGTGGCGCGCCGTAGCATGCTTCATCGTCGTTGAAGCAGACCTGTGACTTATTCAAATTGACTATGACAGATAGGTGACTGATACCATCATAATGACAGACTATTTAAGACGATACTTCCAACGCGCATGAGGGGCTGACATCGGTGATAGCGTCGCTGTGACGCGCGCCCCTGCATAATCCAGGGATACCTCGCTAGTTCGTTACCACGCGGTTGGTATGCGTGGCTGCCATCGGTATGCCCCGAGGTCACAACTTGCCCCTCTGCGAGCTGCTGGGACCGCGGTCGGCTCTTTAGGCGCTCATTACGTCCGCTTTGTTACTGGAGGGGGAGTTAACGCCACAACAAATCACTCACCCGCGAGGTGATTGGCACCCGGCGTGCTCTAAATCCGAGCGGACCGCGCGCTCTGCGATTTCCCTCCACGGCCAATAAGGGCCGCGGTACTCGCGCGCCGTCGTGTCCCGGCTGGCAGCAGGGCATCCATAAGCCCCAATCACCATCAAAGGCTGGAGGTGCTAACGCACGCCGTTGTTGAAAGCCGGGAGAACTGCACGTTGAGTTGTTGCTTCAGCCAACCATCAGGCTTATCCTACTCACGACAGCAGACTCGTCTGATAAAGAATCGCCGAGCCACTGACCGCGTTTGAACCCACCGGGAAGAGGTAAGAAGAAAGTGAGATCATTTGAAGATATGTTCGATGAGATAATCTTAAACGTATCGTGAAAGCGAAAGTAAGCTGAAGAAAAACGACTTCACTACTTTTCAACTCGGTCATCATGAAGTGCAACAAGACACACACGTCCATAGCCCCGGCCCGGGAGCCGGCGCCGGCGGTGTGACCGGAGCCGTCGTGGGTGCCCTGAGGCGGTGGCCGCCTGGCCGAATCGTGCCGCCCCAGGGTTATTGGGACGTTTGGCCGGCGACGGCGGTGTGACCGGAGCTGTCGTCGGTGCCCGGAGGCGGTCGCCGCCCGGTCGACTCGTGCCGCTCCTGAGTTATTGCGACGTTTGGCTGGCAACGGCGGCACTTACGACCGCCTTGGCGTACAGTAATTGGCGCAGTCCATTCAACGAGTCAATTCCCGCCGATCGCAATAGCCTCGTTTTTGTGGAGCGGCCTCCTGGGCTCTCCCGGCGCGCGTAAGTACACACGCGCGCACGCACACCGCGCGCCTCCGCGGGTGCACGCGCGGAAACGCACACAGACGCACGCTCACGTATGTGCATTGCCGGATGCGTTCCAATGGACACGTGTCCGCGTCAAAAAATGATACAGTCTGTAATTTGCCCACGTACACATGCGCGCTCAGGTACGTAGAGACAGAGTGGGCTTCGAGAACCTCGATCGTTGTTATGTCGGGATTTACCAACGAATTGCGAGAGCCTTGTTGGTACCACACGCCGAGCTTAGCAGAATTTTCCTCGTGCGTGGCGCTTCGATCCCCACCGCCCGAGTTGTCTGCCGGCAGTTCAGCGACTGTAGAAATTCGGTGGATCATTTTACGTGTCGCACGTGTTTTGAAGTGGCTGCACTGTGCTGCCGAACACGCACAACTGCAATTTTAAACCCCCGTTTCGTTATGGTGCAGTGCGTGGTCAGTACTCGCACAAACCCCTGGTCCGAATGCGGTCAGAACCCAGACGAACAGCGTCAGTGCCGCTCGCCTTGATTGGCTGCGGCTGTGCTGATCACGCCCTCCGTTAACAAGATCCCCTCCCCCGGTCAGCCGGTGGCGTTTGAGCCTGTTTTGGCCGCGCGGTGTCAGGCGGACGCCTATTAGAGCCCCCAGGGGGGCTGGCCGGCCACACACGTGTAGTGCCGCGGCGTCGGCGATCCCCGGAGTCGGTCGGGTGCCAGACCGCACCAGTTAGTGGTCCCCGAGGAGACAGGTTGGGGCAGCGGTCAGCTGGGGAGTCCCCGGCGCCCGGCGACGGCCGCTGGGGCGGCGCCGCCGCAGCTGTCCGCCCCGCCCCTGGGACGGCTGGCGAGGGTTGGACCTCGGAGGGTTGGCGCTCCGCGGTGAGGGCCAGAGTGGCGGGATGGCGCCCGTGAGAGGGCCGCACCCCTTCTGTCCGAGCGGTGCTCCCGGGGGACGAAGAGGGGGCGGCGGTGATGGAAAGCCGGGGGTCGGTCACGCTACTCCGCCGGGCGCTTTGCCCCCGACTATGCGCTTGACCCAGAATATACGCCGTCGACACCACGGTTGTAGTAACAGCAGAGCGGCAGCTAACAGCACTTACCATCTATTTCTGGAAAACCACTCCTGCGATGGTTGGGACATTCACATGATACGCTGCTTCTGTCAACCACCTTTAAACGCGCTCAATTATCTACGTCGCTGCCCCCCCCCCCCCTCCCCTCCCCTCCCGGTCCGACCTACCCTGCAGATTACCGCTGTCCTTAAATTACCAATATCGGCCATCCCGTCCAACTGAAGCCATCAACGCTAAGCAGCTACCCGTTGAGGTTAATCGAGCATTGGACAGAAACCAGGACCGCCTCGGTGACGGGCGAGCCCTCTTCGGCCGGGAACGTGGCCGCTCCGGTAGGAATAGCGCGGCCACGTGCCGCCGGCGAGGCGCCGGCCGCCGTTGGCCCAGCGCCGGCATCGCCGACGCGTCGCGCGTTCAACGGTTCAACCCTCGGTTCGGAGGGGGGGGGGGGGGGGGGGAAGCGCGGCGAGCGATGGAACTAACTGCGCTGACCGGGACGAAATTAATATACCGGAGACAAGCGGAGTCGACTGGCGGCTCATGTCCACTCAGCGGGGCTCGAGCGAGCGTGTCAGCCCAGCCCGTCACCACCCGCTCATGTCCACTCAGCGGGGCTCGAGCGAGCGTGTCAGCCCAGTCGTCACCACCCGCTCATGTCCACTCGGCGGGGCTCGAGCGAGCGTGTCAGCCCAGTTGTCACCACTCGCTCATGTCCACTCAGCGGGGCTCGAGCGAGCGTGTCAGCCCAGTCGTCACCACCCGCTGAGAGAGGCACCCGCCGGTTTATTGCAGTGCGGTTCCGTGTGGTGCTGCTGGGCACAGACCTCAAGTCGTTCAAGTCGTCTGCGGACATATACCTGCTGGACCCGCACGGTGTCGTCATGAAGCGATGGATGTCGCGCCAGGTAAGCCCCACGGCATCCCGGGCCGGAACCTATTCTGGCATATTACGGTGGTTAAGCTTTTCATATTGCGAGCTTGATGCCGGGAGCGGCAGAAATGAAACAAACGATTATGTATATTTTATCTCGCACGCCTTTAACGGACAAATTTCTGACCATGGGTCATACGTATCCACGCCACTTATTTCATGCCGTCCTTCCGCCAGCTGAGCTACGCAGCACACTAACGAGTTTTAAGTTGCACTGCATACGGAATGTACGCGTACCGCACAGGATCCCCTTCCCTGCTCAAGAAAGCACGTTATAAGCGAACATTGCTTTTGGTTGAGAGGAATCACTTTCACTAATCGTAAATTTTGATGCTGAGGTGACAATACGATGTCCGTGACATTTATAGACCGCCAGAGGCATTTATGTGCAACCGATAGCTTCACCGCATCGTGTTGTATCTTCTACCCATGCCAACATGCTGCACTGCACTGCGCTCATTCGGGCACACCGTCTGTTTGCAAAATTACCACTTCACAGCTCGTCTGCATTAACCAAGGGGTATTTGCTGAAGTGCAGCGTCCTTCCCTGCACGCTCAGCTGCCGCGCTGCATGAATAGTCATGAGCGCAGTTGTCAGAATGAATGCCCCTCCAGCACCCGCTGAGCTGCGGCGTTGCACGCAACGCGGCACCATATCACAAGCCGCGGTGTGCCGGCTAACGTGGCTGGCTGTTCCCTCGGTAAAGACGGCCACACACCTGCGGGAAGCGCGCGGCGCCCGGCGCCCACCCGGTCTGCCGTGACCCTACGGGGGCACTAACCCTGTGGACGACGTCTGTCCGTCAACAGATCACTGCGATAGCCGTAATCGCCCTCTACTCCTTGTTGCGCCATGTTTTTCGGCCGATCTTCCTTCCCCTCGCGGCTGGCGTGGCTCTGAAGCCGGCCCGGCGGCACGGACGCACCGTCTCGTGCCCTAATTGGAATGTTAAAAATGCAGCGGGCCGCGCTCTGCAGGGCACTGCTCGGCTCGGAGCGTGCTACGCAACAGGGCACTGCTCGGCTCGGAGCGTGCTACGCAACCCCCTCGGTTGACTGGCTCCTGAGCCGACGCCGGCGGGCGCCGCAGGGGCAGGGGCGATGATGACGCCCGTGCGGCGACGGCTCAGTTTGTCAGGCTGTGGGGGGGGGGGGGGGGGGGGCAGAGCGGCATATCACTTAACGCTAGCTTGCGGCTTGTTTTGGGTGCGGGAGGCGGTGCTGACCGCTTCAGAACTCGCCGGGTGAATCCGACATGCCCCATGCCGTTCGTGCTGTCATCCAGACAAAGTCCGTCGGACAATGGAACTGGCCGAGTCCCTTCGGTACTTGCGGCTCGCTCAACCATTGTTACAGTCCTGTGGCAAAAGCATGTGGGGCCGCTGCGACCTGGAAGTAATGCCTTTTCAGAACGTAAAATCCTCAGAGCACGAACGACGCGCTTGAAAATGATATTATTTTTGAACCGGGCGATTGCATCCACTGTTTCAACAGCAGCAGCACTGGCATTCTCACGCACGACTCCGTCTGCGTGACAGACAGCAGTAATAGGCGCTTGAGAACAGTTCTGCAGTTTCGGAGCGCAGCCACCACGCCGGTGTACCAGTGTCGGTGTCATTCCGTGCCTGCCAACCGTGGGGTACATGGCCACGCGAAGATGGATGGCCACTGTCGGATGGTGAAGATGGCTGTGCATCAGCGCTAACCCATCTCGCAGCCTCAATCGGAGCAAATATGACCATGGAGAGAGATCAGGCTGCCTGAAAAGGAGGGAGGGTGACGGCCGGGCCGTGGCGGGGTGAATAACGGCCCAGACTGCTCACCTAACGTGCTCTGCCGCTGCCGCTCCGCGCCGGTGGACCCGGACCGCGCGCTGCGTCGTACGCTGTAGTCGCCTTTACCGTGAAGAGGGAGCTGGTAAACGCACGCTGTAGGAAACGGGCGTGATGATTAGCGGTTGGCATGAGCGATGACATTGAGTCGTTTCAGTGCCGTTCAAAATGAGGCGTTTGTTTCCGTCGTGGGCTGTTCTGAATTATGGCGTCCGTCCGTCAGTGACCGGCGCCAGTTATGTTGATTTTATACAGCTGTTAGTGATTCACTGATGACGAGGATGGCGCTGATGTTCCGTTTTCGTGTCGATTGTAGGCGTTGCCTTGACCTGTGGAATACGAGCTAACTGCTACCGAAAAATAATCACCTGAATTGGTGTATGTGTATACCTAAATCATTGATGCTAGCCATACCTCAGCCGACCATACCGCTCTGATCAATCTGAAGTGGAGGTGCTGGGTCAGTAACTCCCTTCCCGCCCACCCGCCTCGTGCCCTTTTTCACTAGAACCCTTGCTCTGCTTCTACCGAAGCCCTTTGTGTAACGTTGCCACGTTATGGTGGCATTCTCACTCTCAGTCCAGCGACGCCTCCGAAGCGTCTCGCCAGAACTCCCCGGTGCCGCTACCGTGACCTGGCCTGACCTGATCTGACCTGACCTGACCTGACCTGACCTGACCTGACCTGACCGTGACCCGCGCAGTCCAACACTGGCCTGGTGTCCGCTGAGTACCCGCTGGGCGAGCGACCCGTGGCCGGCACGTGGACCGTGCGCGTCACGGCGCGCGGCCAGACCGAAGAGCAGCCCTTCTTCGTCCAGCTCTACCTGCCGCCCAGGTTTGAGGTGAGCTCGGCGCCGCGGCACTGCTCTGCGGACCGTCTCGGAGCGCTTGGGGGGGGGGGGGGGCAAGGCCGGCTGCGTTGGGCTCGTTCCCCACTCGGGTGATGTGGGAAAGACACTTCGCGTCAGTCCCAGTCGGTGCAATGCGAAGTTTATTGATCAACGCTGTGGGTTTCGATGAAGCATGATTGTAAGGTACAGATGGGTGCTTATTGTATCTCACGCTCGCGAATGTTCTTATCCGCTATATGAATACCTGCCATCCAAATAAGGCCGATCTCCATGCATTCCGGTTCGATCTGACTAGGTGCCGTTAGCTGCTGACGAAGCGCCGTCCTTGCACACGTGCGAGTTCGACCCGACCTGGCCTGACCTGACCTGCCTGACCTCACCTGACCTGTCAGGTGCTGGTGGAGACGCCGCCGATCCTGCGTACCTCCCAGTTGGACCTGCCGGTGGTCGTGTCGGCCAACTACACGGGCGGCGGCGGCGCCGTGTCTGGTCAGCTGACCCTGCTGGCCGAGGCGGCGCCCCTGCTCCGGCGGCCGGGCTGGCACGCCAAGCAGGTCGTCCTCCAGACGCCCGTCGCGGTGCGTCCCGGCTCACCACGCGGCCTGGCCGGAGCGCTGACTCGCAACACAGCTTGTCGGCGAAGCGGTCTCGGATGCTAGTCGACCTGTAAAGTGCAGAACGATGTTTTTCGGCAATAGTGTCTGTGATGATGAGTGGGATTTCGATATTTATGCTGTTCTAACTGTGCTTCGTCTGGACTGGTCGTATCGCAGATGTTATGCGGTGTGTAATCTAGTCGGCTCTTAGCAGAGGCTGCGACCGTTTCGCGGACCGGCGCTCCTTTGTTGATGAAGGTGAAGACGGCCTGATGAATCCCCTCGCCACGCCGCAGTTCTCTGGCCGCCACGAAATCCGGGTGCCGGTGGCGCGGCTGAGGTCACTGCTGCAGCCGCTGGACGGCTCCGAGGTCAAGGTCACCGCCCAAGTCGTAGACAACGCGCTCAAGGTCACCGGTCAAGGTCACAGCGCGACGCGGGTGTATGGGGACACGATCCACCTCAAGTTCCTGGGCGGCGTAAGCCAGGTGTTCAAGCCGCACATGCCGTTCCGAACACACGTAAGTCTCGCATTAATCGATCAAGCTGGCGCTGGCCGCTGATGAATGCGATGCATTAAACTGATGCCTGAAAACAAAGGGCGGGATGCACCGTTTATGCTGTCGGATGCGTCGATTTGACTTGTACTTGGGGGTGTGCAATGCCGCTGCCGCAGGCTCGTTTGCAGGCCGCCAGCGTATGGTCGATTTGCGTGTGAATTATTAAATGGCCAGCACAAGCATGATACAAGTGGCGGAAAATATGTGCCGCGGTAGTATTCCAACCACGCTATGTCACACGGGTTGCAAAACCGCTACACTTTGTAGCTTTCGAGAAAAGCTATATCTATGCGGCCGTCACGCTGGCGTGGGGGAATCACCATTACGGCAGTTAATTTGACGTGACCTGATCCTGACCTAACCTGACCCTGACCTGACCTGACCCCGGCAGCTGGTGGCCTACATGACGGACGGGTCTCGTCTCAGCGCCGGACGGCTGTTCGAGCACCGGCTGGACGTGCAGCCGGAGTTGGTGCTCAGGTCAGTGGCATGGAGCTCAGGTCAATGGCCGGTCAGGGCCTGGGCCCTACACCGCGGATGCGTGGTGCGGAGCTGCAAGATGCTTGTTCATATTCAGGTTGGTGCGCGCTATCTACCAGTCGGCGCGCCCTAGTTCCACGAATTCCACGTGACATTCAAGGATTGTCAGCATTGAACGTGACAGTCAAAGGCTCCAAAAAAGCTCTTTAAGTCGACCTGAACGAAAAAAGGCTCTTTAAAAAACGTAAACTTGGGCGAAAAAAACGCTCTGTAAACGTTCTGCCACCGGTTTTTAAAGAAAGTCTCGATGTTGTCAATTTTGTACTTAAACTGTGACTTTTGGGGCAAGTTTGCGATGCCTCTGATGCGTTCGATTTTCATTAAAATAAGTCTTCTATGATCACAGGGAGTGGTCCGATGCTGTCGTACTGTACTCGGATGTCCTTGACAGCTTGTATCTTCACTCGGCACTCGTCAAGCACGCGCACGTGCGGATATCTTCGTTCTAAGTCCGTCGCCGCCACCCTCCACCCTCTGCGGCTCTCCTAGCCGCTGACTGACGCTGCCGCCCGCAGGAACGGCAAGCGGTACATGCTGTCGAAGCGGCGTGCCCAGATGTCACCCAACCACCCGGGCGTGTGGGAGGTGGAGGTGACCCTCTCGGAGGAGCGCGGTACGTGGCCCCTGCTCCGCCACTCCCCGCCCCCGGCCAAGGCGGGAGGATGCTGGCCCAGCGGCCTCCCATCCCGGCGTTTGAAGGGTGGGCTGTTCACGTGGTAGAAATGTCGCGTGTCTGCGGGATGTAGATGTGTCTGTGATGGGAACTAACCGCGTACTCGCTGCTCTTTGTCGACGGAAACGGCTGCACTGTGGCGAGCCGCGCGTTGCCAGCCGGCGCGCGCCCGGTATCGTGTTGTGCAAGCGTTTCTGCAAATCCTGGTCGCGTGCCGTTTGCGTCCTTTGTGTATCCCATCTCGTCACTGGCACTGCCCAACGTCAGCTGAGAGAAGCCTGGGAGTCGGCCGAGACCTACCCGGCCGCCATCTCTGGGCCCAGTTCTCAACGCTCGCCTCACCTCCCGTGCCGCAGACTTCAGTCAGCTGCTGGACCAGGTTCGCTACCTGTGCCTGGCCGCCTCCCTCAAGGACTACTTCGGCAAGATGGCTCGCGCCGAGGCGGTGGCGGTGGCGCTCCATACGCCCTCCAACCTCCACCTCCATCTGGCCACCTCCACGCACTTCCCCAAGGTAGGCGCCGCCGGCGGGGACCGGAGACGGAGAGGGTCGCGAGAGTCTGATGAGGTCACAGCGCAGGTGACGAGCGGCGCGCCGTTGGTGGCCAGCACGCTTGCCGAGATGGTCGGCACCAGCGCTGCGCCGCTCGCAGCCGGAGAGCTCTGCTGGACTGGTTGCGCGCACGAAATGCCATCGACAGGCCACTCGTTCAAAAGGCAGAGTTTCAAAGAGGGTTTTTTGACTTTCAGAGAATGCTGTATGCCACCTTGGACAGCACCCTTTGCCTTTTTATTGGATTCTATGGACGTCATCTCCTTTGCACCAAGACAAACATTTAATTTTAATTCCCCTTCAGTTTTGTAACCAGTGTAGTATTTCAAACTCAGCTCTTCTAGTCATATTCTTCACGATTGCCACTGGCTCGTACGCTACGCTGTAGCGCTGCCCACAAGCTCATCGCTTCCGGCGGGCGGATGCCCGCCCCGTCCCGCTCAGCGGGGGCCCGCTGTCGTGCCCCGCCCGCGTGTACTCACGCCACCGCCGTTGGCCCGGTCGCGTGGCGTGCGTGGTCACTCGACCGTGGCGTGACCCGCACTGGGCGCGTGGTGTGACTGACGTCGAGTGCGCGGCGTGACGACCGAGTGCCGCGCAGGTCGGCGAGTTCCTGGTGCTTCACGTGCGCTGCAACTTCTACATCGAGAACTTCCGTTATGTGGTGCTTTCCAAGGGCATCCTGCTGGATCACGGGCTGGTGAATATGGAGGTGGGTGCGCCGCTCCGTCCGGACTTGACTTTTGATCTCGTCGCAGTGTTTGGTTGAACGGTCGTGACTTAACACTAGACTGGCGTCGAAAAAGAGTAAGCAGGCGCTTAGGCAGTTCCCATTTCGTACTTCCTTGCCCATACTGATAGCTCAGAATATTCCTGAGACTTTCAGTCTCCTGCCGCGCGTGGTTGGTTATACCGCATGGCTGCTCAGTTGGAAGCCTTGTCGCAGGCTTCCAACCAGTGCGAGCGGTGCGTTTAAGCACCCCTCGAGTGCGCGCTCCGATAGAAAACGCTGTCGTGCGCGTGCCGACGCCTAGGGAAACGTGGCACGCGCCGCGCGCCGACAGCGTGCGCCTCAGCCGACATCCCGACACATGACGGCAGAATGCGTCACGCCTTGAGGCGACGCGACGTGCAGCCCGCCGACAGATGGCGCCGCTGATCAGGCCCGACGCGCTGACCCGGCCGACCACGCCGGCAGCTGTGTAACGTGCGGAGAGCGGGGAGTGACTGCTGCCCCTGGAAGACCATCGGCGATGCTAAGACGGAGCCTTGCGATGCGCTGCTGGTTTTACGTTTAGTGTTTGACTTATCGAGGGATTCGGTACGGGCGCCAGAGCGCTGCGAGCCCTATGTCTGGCGCTGGTCCATTCCCTGCTGCCGGCACCGTTGATCGCTGATAGCTGTGGATGCCGCCTCACGTGTTCCCGGTGACCTGTGACCTGACCTGACCTGACCGGCAGGTGCCGCTGCACACGTTTCCCGTGGCCGTGACGCCCGAGATGGCGCCCGTGGCCACGATCCTGATCTACCACCTGACGTGGTATGGCCAGGTGATCTCAGACACGCTGCGCTTCCCCGTGTCCGGTCTCTCCCGCAACAATGTGAGTGCAGGGCCGGCTGGGGTCAGTCACGCGGCTGGCCTTTCCGATGCAGTGTCGCGGAGACATGGATGCGGATGCGGTGAACGGAGACCGCCGGGCATAGCGCAGGTTGCCTGTGTTCATTGGCGGTGGTTTGGGCGACGCAACGCCGTGGACTTAGGAACGCACGTAAGCGTAAGCGGACTCGGATGCGGTCTCCAAACGTCTGCACGCAGTTGGCCGGTGGCTGCGTGGTGCACCAGCCGGCGGCCGTGATCTCCTTCAGGCTATGTTTGCGTTGGATGGATCGCGTCGCTGGACTGTACGCAGTGTGGGTTGGGACGGCGGGCAGGGCCGGGCTCGGCGCGCCGCCGCCTCCTGACAGATGTCACTACCGCTGCCACGCTGTCCCGCGGCCATGATGGATCGGTCGGGAGACATTGTGCGTGAATCGGGCGGACGACCCCGGCGTGAGTTGCCTATCGCCGCTGTCTAGTCCGTCTCCGGCGCCTGCCCTTCCTTGGTCATACCCCGTCCGCCGGCTGTTTTCCTTGCCTGTCTGACGTGATGGGCGTCGGCTTTAAAAGGCGTCGCTTGGAACGCAGCCGCTTGTCGGGATCCATCACGCAGCTGACCCGACCCATTCCCATTCCCCAACTGACCCGAGTTTCCTCGGCGCTGCAGTTCACGATCTCGGTGGGGCGCACCAACCACCCATACCGGCCCCGGTATGAGGTGGAGGTGGCGGTGAAGGGCCGCCAGGGCTCCACCGTCGGTCTGGCCGCCTTCCAGTCAGACCTGTACCAGGTCACCTCCGGTACCGACGTCTCCAGCTATAAGGTCAGCAGCAGCGCTCGACCCGCAACCGACGCGGAATTGACGGAACAAGCAGCCGTGATTTCTGATGCTGTATGTTGGTCATTTGTGTTGTCATGTCGGTTATGTGTTGTTGAGTTATCATGCTGACAGCTATCTACCTTCCATATACCAAAAGTACTGACTAGACGACGTTATCAAGCAAAAATTTCCTATCTTGTCAATGCCAGATGATCCTAAGCACAGACTGAATCATCGAATTACCATGAGACGTCGTTCAACCAGTCCCTAGATGGATGCCTGTCGACATAAGAACTCTTACACTGACAACACCGAAAAACCAGAGCTCAAGATCGTTCTTGCTTATGTAAGTGTCGGACAAAATGACACGCAAGACCTTGCTTGGTAAATCTTTACGTGTACCAATGTTTTATCACCAAAGTGATAAAACCTTTTCGTGCTTCTTAAGACTGGCACAGCTTTAGGATGGCGGAAAACCTTTTCGTGCTTCTTAAGACTGGCACAGCTTTAGGATGGCGGACACATTAACCTAAGCTTAAGTGAGTAGGGAATGTACAGCCCAAATACAGTCACCTATCATAATTAAGGGATTTAACTGCAGCCTCATGTAAAGCAACACACTGCTGTAACCGACGGTGTGCTGGGCGTTTTCAGCTGCTGCGGGCGATGCAGAAGTTCGACGGCAGCGGGTTCGGCGGCGAGTTCATGCACCACTGGACCACCGCCGACGGCCGGCCGGGCCCCACCGTGCACCTGGCCTCGCACAGGACGGCGTTCGGCTTCAACGAGACGTTGGAGTGAGTCGCACCGTGACGCGTGATACTGAGACGGTCTGCGGCCAGGAGCCCGTCGATCGCCCGGTTTGAGACGTCAGGATCGTGCAGGAGGCACGATAACGCGCGCGCGGCGGGGCCTTGTCATGAGGGCCGACGAGACGCAGACTGTGCTCCACATGGCTGACCAGATGCGTTAGGCCCATGGGATCGGCCAGATGCCGAGGCGCGATGTAATGACGGGTTCCGCTCGGCGTAATGCTTGTGCGTAGGCCTCCATACGACGACGCAGCCCAGAGCACCAAAATAATGCCTCTAGCGGATACATCCGAGCCCTTGAACCCAACTCCCAGGACTGAAGTGGGCTGGGCTCCACCGCAGATGAAAGCACTTTGTATCAATGTTTCTGGAAAGCGTTTCTTTTCGTCCAACGTCGAAGCACCGTATTAAACAAAAGTGTAAATATGCCCTTGACGCCTTGTGGACGCGGCGGCAACGCGGGCGGAACGCGTCTGGTCTGCTTTATTCCTGCTCGTGTCCGTGTGTGTACCCTTCCTCTTTACGTCCTAGCTTCGACCCCGGCCCGAGTTAAGTTCAAACGCTGTACTTTGGTCATTTTCACGCATGGCGATGGCCTGCCTTTTTATTGAATAAGTAAATAGCTGAGATTTCACAGCATACGGCCTACGACGATCAGAATAAGGCACGTGTGTGTAGTTTTCGAAACATTTACTATTTGAGACCCCGCCGTACCACTCCTCGATAGTATAGTGGTGAGTATCCCCGCCTGTCACGCGGGAGACCGGGGTTCGATTCCCCGTCGGGGAGCTTTTTCGTTGTCTTTATCAGGACCAATGCAAGCTCTTATCAAAAACACAGCACCACTCATTGAAACTTTTCCAAGGAAAGATCCAATGATCACAGGTTTTATGCTTATACATGTTAATAGTTGATTAAAGTAAAAGGTTTTCGATTTTGGTCCGGTCGCCCAGTGCAGTCGCACCAGCAAACTTCTGTTACAGTGAGTGAGTCTGAAACAGAAAGATAGTAATTAGCACTCTGGGAATACGTCATTCGCAATGTTAACATACCAATTATCCGCAAAATACTTGATGAAATCCTTCCATTCAGACATCTGAACGACCCACGCGCATAACTGACGATACTGGGACAACCGACAGTTTATATCTCCACACGGACAATCTGCCAGTTGAGCGCATCATTACCTCATCCCAGCCATCCAACCCTCGAACCGTCCCCCTCTCACCGCCCTCCTGTCCACCTTGCGTTGCAGGGGCGCCGAGCTGCTGGTGATTACAGACGCGGGCGTGCCGCCGCGGCCGCCGCCGCCGCCCTGCACGGCCGGCGGCAAGCGCGCCTGCCGAGCCGGCGGCTGCTACGCGCCGGCCGGCCGCTGCGACGGCCAGCCCGACTGCGACGACATGTCCGACGAGACCGGCTGTGAGTGGCTTCTAGCGGGCCAGGGCGTGACCCTGGGTGGCGCACGGCCCGGTGGTGTCGTGGTCCCGCCGGTCTCGCGCCACACGCTTGTGGAAATGCGACATCATCGAGAGTGGACGACCGCTAGCACAGGATGCAGAACTCCATGTGTTGGGTGGCTCGCGCCTCTATTTTTCTTTGGCGTTTACTGGTTCTGGTGATGTGGTGCAGTTTGTTTTTTCAGGAAGCGATCAGAGTTTTAGTATCGGGATTTTTAATTTTTCCACCCCTCTACGCACGTCAGAAGAAAAGACTTCCAGAGGCATGGGAAGGCGCGAGGTGGTATGTGAATGGATGTGGTGGAAATTGAGTGGTTGGGATGTGGAGACTGGCGAAATATGACCGCAAAATCTTGTTCCCGCACCGGGAATCGAACCCGGGCCTCACGGGTGAGAGCCGTGTATCCTAGCCACTAGACCATGCGGGAGACGTCGATGCGGGGGTAGGCCCCGAGCTGGGTCCTATCTTTTTTTTACGAAACTGCTGAAGCAGTCTCCCCCCTCGAAAATACTCCAGCACTCCCGGCCCCAGCCTTGAGAAAAGTGTTCCAAATCCGGAGAGAAACATGTGCGTCGACGGGTGTTGGGGTAGGTTTTCGTTATTGTAATTTAATCCCCCCAAATCACGTCGCGAAACTTGGCCTCTGGTTTAAGGCTCTCTGATACTAACCGGAAAAATACGTTGTCGTGTTTGTCGAGCTTGCCGGGTCACAACCTTGCCATCAGCCCGCTGATAAAAAAGAAGGCACGGAAGTCAACGCCACGCCATTCCCCAAACCACTGAACTTTAAACCTTGTACGATGTTGTACTTAAAATATGTGTTAATTCAGCTTTGGGAGGCAGCAGCATTCTACTGACAAAATTCTCACTTAGACGTCCTGAATTAAGACGAACTAGTGAGTTCAGCTTAGTAAAGACAGCGCAGCCGCGCTGGCGGTTTTTACGCGTTACAGAAGTGCGGTGGTGTAAGTTGTTCAGTGCATTAGCGAGGAACATCATTCACATAGATAAGGAGGACATCAGTCGCAAGTGGACATGGATAAGATTGCTGTCTTATGTAAGTATGTTAGTGTCTTCAATGTGACAGTTGTATGAAAACGTGACTGGGGATTTGATCAGAGCCTTCCATTCACGGGGCAGCGACATGATGCCTATGTCGCCAGCGGACCAAAACGAGAAAAATTGCATCGGCCGGGAATCGAACCCGGGCCGCCCGCGTGGCAGGCGAGCATTCTACCACTGAACCACCGATGCCCAACGGCGACCGGGGTCGGATTGTGAAAGCCCAACCTACAATATAAGGATCATCACTTTCTGTAATGATTATCGATTATAATTGATATTGATTGAGACGTCATCCCGGCATCACGAATGTGCTTACCCATGTCAACGCAAGGGGAAGTGACAGCATACAACAATACGTACATGCGCTTACGCCAGTGACACCAGGTTTCAAGGTTCAATGGGGCCTGGCCTATCCAAGAGCCGATTTTGCACATTAATTTGCAACATTCTCTCCCATTCGCACATTGTCATTGTCTTCGCATAAAACCCGACGGTTTAAAGACGTGGTCAAGCTTCGACCTTGGTGATTTAAGACAAAGAGGGCATAGGCATAATCTCTTGTCCTCAATCCTATGTTCTCAATGTCTCAATAATCTCAATATCCCATGTTCGCAATTACCCCTGTTTGAAATAAGCTTAATATGCAGAAGCAGGGCCGTCATTGCAGTGGGTTTTAGTTCACGGCGTTAAGTAATACGCTTTAAGGTTTCACTTGTTCAGAGAAAAACAAGCGTACCTTTTTTGGTTGTTCGTCAATCCTCACTCAACGCATGGCTTTGGTAGTGACGGGGTAGATAGAGGCAAGAATGAATAGGTCCCCAGTTCCCGCAGCTTATCGCTTACCCTACCGCAACGAATAAAGGAGATCGAGATTAGCCTTGAATTATTCGATTTAACAGGTAATTTTGCGTATTCTGGCGTATCCAGCGAAAACGCGTTCCCGCACCGGGAATCGAACCCGGGCCTCACGGGTGAGAGCCGTGTATCCTAGCCACTAGACCATGCGGGAGGTGACCGGCAACCTGGTTTCAGGTGGTACAGTTACGGTCAAGCCGAATTCTGACGAGTTCCTGTTGCGGAGGCGGAGTCGTATCTTGTCGGACTTCACTGCGACCTGGCTGTGGTCCGACGTTACGATTGGAAGTAGCGGCCACGTCATTCGGCAGGAGATTGGACCGAACACGACTTCATACTGGACTGTGTCCAGCATTGGCGTCGGCGAAAACAGCGGTCTGGGATACGTGCACACAGTAGCGCAGGTGGGTTCGAGATGCCACGTGACATCAGATGACCTCAGTTCCGCGTGACACCAAGGCGCCGTAAGAATCCAACACGGGCGACAGACGCCCGTCACAAGAGGTAGGAGCAAAGGTAGGGTGGCAGGATCTTTCGTCCGGGCGGGCACAACGGTCGAATCTAGCAGCCGATGCTAATTTGGTGAATACAAAAAAAAAATTGACGTCTCGCCGTGGCCATGCTTCTTTCGCAGGGGATAAGGCACGTTTGTGGTTTTAGTTCCGGACACGAGGCTTGAGGCTTCAGCTAGCATCTCCGTCAATGAACCAGTGCCTGCGGTGCTTCAGTCCTCACCTGCGCTCGCCGTCAAGCCCGCCTCCGGGCCATCTGCTGCCGACCACGCCTGGCCGACCCAGCGGACAACCCGTCCCTCTTTCTAGGAGCTCTTTCCAGGGGTGTGCAGCGACCGTCTTTGTCTCGGTCCCGGGGTGTCCCCTCGCACCTTGCCGCCGGCCTCTTCTCGGCCAGTCACGATCCAAGCTGCGCTCTTTTTGGGAAGTGCGCGCGTCTTGCATATAACGTGCAATCGCAACCTCGACAGAAACCCGCCTCTCGACCAATCACAGGCTGCGCCAGGCGTGTTCGGGCAGCTCGTAAATCGCGTGCGGAGCGGCCGCCCGTCCCCCAACAGATCGCATTTCGGCGCCGCACAGGGACCGAACCCAGACGCCGGCGGTGGGTCGCCCCTTTCCCGTCGGCGTCTCTACTTCGATTAGTCCCTCGCCTCGAGCGTCGGTGCTGATCAGACAATGGGAGGCATCGGTCGCCTCAGGCTGGACGGACGCGGTGTGTTGGTCTGGCGATGGAGGATCTATGTCGCGAGAGAAGTTGCACCGCTGCTCATGTTGTTGGCATCAGGGGAGAAACTGTTTCCGCTCCGTCTCTGCCCATGCAACACAATGCAGGGTATGTGTGCAGATGTTTCTGAGCCGTTAAGTGAGGTAACGTCAATTCGCATGCTTTCAGTCAGTATGCCTCCCGCTAGCTGCTGGGATGATAAGCCCGACTTGAATGTCAAAAAGTTATCTTTGAAACACTCAAACCTTGCGAAAGAAGCGTTTTCCAAACGTGAAGGTATGTAGATCGTACTTTACCTGGGCTGTGTAAATTGGGACTGTTAGTTTCGCATGCAGTCTGCGGTGCTGCTGTTGGCCTCGTGCAGCACACAGTGATGACGCCGTCGGCCGGCCGGCAGTACTCCGTGGTCCGGCAGCTGGAGACGGCAGCGGCGCTGCCCGCCTCCTGCGTGCTGGGCGAGCAGCTGGGACTGGTGGTGACGCTGCTGAACCGTGGCCACAGCGCCGTCACCGTCAATCTCGTGCTGGCCAAGGCGCCCCACTACCGCTTCGTCAGCCTCAGCGAGTTCGGCAAGCAGGTGCGTTTGATGCTGCGCTTTTGCGCCTCGGATGAGGGCAGTTCTGTGTGGTGAAGGCATGGTGGATAGAGTGGAGGGATCAGCGATATTCCATAATGTGGGAGGATTGAGGGGATCGGTGAAGAAAACTTGCATGAAGGTGATTTGAGGTTCCTCCAACTCCACTAGCATGCAGCGCCTACCTTTGGAATCTGCCCTGCCTGGGAAGTTTCATATGATAGCTCGGCACAATCCCACCATCTTTTCATTTGTGATGCCCGGCTGTTGTCTCTCCGCCAAAGTGCACTGTGCCGGTGTGTGAGCGGTGTCTGTTTCGGGGCCGTGTGTCACCGCCGGCCTGATATGGTGCGGTCCTGTGTCGGGAGCTGTCAGACTGTTGTCAGGAGAGCCGCGCCGCGACGGGCCGCCGTGTCTCCGTCCCCGTCTGGCTGAGAAATGCTCCCCGCGCCACCTTGTCCAGACCCGCGGCCGTGACGCAGTCCACATCTGGCGCTCTTCCAGCACGAGCTCTTGTGACTGTCACCTGCGCCACCGGCACATAGGGATGTTGGTTTCCTTCCTGGGCGACAGCGCGTTGGTTAATGCTTACACCGTAAGGCAGATTCATTGCAGTTGTTTGTACATGTGGCAGTCTGTGCCCAACAGGCCACTGTTGTCACATATGCGTCTTGGCCACTGGGAGGATTGCATTACAATCCATACCAACGCCCCACTTATTTTTACACGTGTGCGTTTTACAGCTGGCGTAGCTGACGCAGCTGCTGCTGTGGGAGCACGGTCGTTCGGCTCCCACGACGAAGCATCGGCATGTCACTGCCACACTTGAATACCACCGCGCCCGGCCGCGCAACGACTGCCGCACCGTGTGCTGTGCTGGGTTAGCGTGTAAGGGCGTTGCCTCCTCCTCCCTGGGGCGTTTCCACCGTTAGCGGGTTGTCTGCCGTCCTCTGCTGAGCGTTTCCCGCGTCAGAGAATACCCCTGTCCTCCTCTGAGCGTCTCCCACCGTCGGAGGATACCCCCGCCCTCTTCTAAGCGTCTGGGCCGTCCTCAGACTAGCGTGCGCCGGTCCGAGGACGCCCTGGTGGAGCACCGCACGTCGGTACCGCTGGCGCCCGGCCAGACGAGGTCGGTGATCTTGCCCGTGCAGCCACGGATCACCGGAGACGTCAACATCACGCTCTACACCGAACACCAGGGCGTCAAGGACATCTTGTTCAAGACCGTCCACGTCAGGGTGAGTCATGACGGCACGTCAGGGTGACGCTCTGGCGAGCTTGTCGGCCTCCTGGGTGGTGTCACAAACGATGACATGGCAAGTTGCGAATGCTCTGCCTGGTAGAACAAAGTCATTGTCCGTGCCTGTTGCCAAACTAGAGATGGCTAATGTGTTGATACATTGAAAAGTTTTTCTGTTGTTCCCAGAATATGCATCGTTAAACGTAATATTATATGTCGCGTTGATGGACTGCTTTCGGTTGTTAAGTTGATTTATAAGCATCAAACCAGCATTGGTGCTCATTGCTACTTTGCGGTGTATCCCTCCCGTTGTGACCCTGACCTGTCCCCTCAGCTGCCCGGGGTGCCAATGGAGCACCACACGGCATTCCTGTCGGACGTGTCCTCGTATGACCTCGGCCTGTCCCCTCAGCTGCCCGGGGTGCCGATGGAGCACCACACGGCATTCCTGTCGGATGTGTCGTCTCGGTCGCACGCCTACACGTTCATGGACGTGCTGCAGCCGGGGCTGGCGGTGCCCGGCTCGTACCGCGCCGCCGTCTCCATCACCGGCGGCGTAGTGGGGCCGTGGCCCGATGCCGGTACGTGGCCGCCTGGACGCGGACTCGGCCCGAATGTTTGGGGTGGCGGCCAGCCTGTCTGCGGCCCGTTTAACGTTGGGGTCTTGAGCAGGATGCAGTCGCCCTTGCCGGGTTGGAATGCGTGCACGTCTGATATGTGGGCGAAACGTCCGATATATCGTCACCTCGACAGTTTCGTTTGCGCACGTTGATGACGGGAGCATGCTTTATGGATGTTTAGCTTGTGATCGGTGTCGTTCGTGTCACGTGGGTTGACGTCAGCTACACCACGGACTGGCGCTGCCCGCAACTCTACGATAAAACGCTGGCCCCGCCTGTTTCCGTCAGGTGACGCGTCGTCAGCACCTTAGGCGGCCGACGTCGCCGCGTGACCTGATGATGACCCTGCGGTGACCCTATATCGACCCCATCTCAGGTGACACGTCATCAGCGCCTCAGACGGCCGACGCCGTCCTCTGTGACCTGGTGATGACCTTGCACCGGCTAGAGTACTTGAAGCCGCCGCGGGCCCGAGCTGACCTCCTCATCAGTGGGCTGTCACGCACCTACCAGAACCTGTTGGCATACCGGCGCGAAGACGGTGCTTTCTCAGTCTACAGGTAAAGCTAGTGGCCGTGTGCTACAGAAGCGCCGCTCCTGGCGCGTGTAACCTCTGAGTTCGCGGTCAAAGTCGTCCGGGAAATGCTGCGTTGTGTTGATTTTCGACGCGATGCAATGCGAATGAACTGAACGATGAACTTCTTTATGGTGGCGTGTCGTGGACTGCCGCCACGTGACCTGGCCGGCGCCACTATCCGTCGACAGCGCCGACCAGCCAGCAAGCGTGTGGATGACAGCCCACGCAGCCCGCGCACTGGCCGCGCTCCGCCTCTCGCCGCGACGCCAGCGGTCGCTGCTCGACACTGAGGTTCTTGCCAGCGCCGCCAGATGGCTCGTCGGTGCCCAGTTTGAGTCGGGCCTGTTTCGCGAGCGCACTATGGCCGCAGATCAGCGCTTCAACGACACCGGTGACGTCATGCTGACGTCGCACGCCTTGCTGGCACTGGCTGCAGTGGCCAAGGCGGCGGAGAAGACAGATTCGCCAGACGACGGAAAGGCCGGCGCCGAAGAGGTTAGTTCATTGGCGGCCGTGCAGTGACCACGGCAGATCTTCGTTTTTCACCTGTGTCGTGGTGTCCTTCCATCTGGACCGATTTCTCTAACTTTCCAGTTCAGCCTCGGCACATTCATATTAACTTGAGTGCTACTGTGCGGGTCAACCAAGAACACGCTCGTAACTGATACATTCCCAACATGGTCGTTTTTGCTTTTTGTTTTTGCGGTTCCTCCTCTGGCTCTAACCGTCTGACGCTGCCCCGTGATCTAGACGCGCGTGCAGGCGGGCTGCACGCCTTGCTGAGCTGTGAATGACCCGTGCGCGCCGTCAGGAGGCGCTGGATGTCCCTGGCCTGGAGGCTGCCCAGTCCTCAGCCGCCGAGCTGCTGGCGGTGCGGCTGCAGGACGGCCTGTCGCCCCTGCAGGCCGCCATGGCCGCGCTGGCGCTGGTTGGCCGCGGCGGCCGGCCAGCCGTCGACGCCCAGCGCCTGCTCTCGCGTAAAATGCAGGACGATGGTGCGGACCGGAGCTGGGGGGGGGGGGGGGGGGGGAGGTGCCGCCCCACCTCACACAATGGGCAGAAGGAACTCGGTTTGGGTTGCGCGGTTGCGCTGAAATGCTGAACTCTGTGCCGTTCTTGCTGATCCTCAGGTAGCAGCACTCAGTTCCTGGAGCTGTATCATTTTGAAAATGAATCTCTTTTGTTGCTTGTACCCTGTCGTTTGATCATCCAGCATACAACGTGTAACGTTTCAGCATCTAACATTCACCGTTTAACAGCATAATGTTAAATTTAACGTCCGCTGAGTGTCCTGAGACCCTGACCAATTTGCCCTCGTCGTTTGCGTCGTGACGTAATGCCCACCGTCGTGACGCGGCCTGTTCTGCACCGTCAGGCGAGTTCTCCTACTGGAGCTGGGAGCCGCTGCCGCTGCCCGCCTACCGCGTCAACGAACACGTGCCCTACCTGCAGCCGCGCCGCACGCTCACCAACGAGTCGGAGAACGTGCTGGCCACGGCTGTGGCGCTGCGGGCCTACCTGGCGGTCGGCCAGCACCGCACCAAGTCCACAGTCAACTGGCTGCAGGCGCGGCGCCGCGACGACTTCGGCTGGCTGGGACGCATGGTGAGGAGGCCCCCGCCCGCCGGGCGAAGGCTGGGGAGGGGATTAGATGGATGGAGGGGCAGATAGGCTGGGCGCGGTGGGGAGGGAGGACGATACTGTGGTTTGGTGGAGAACTGTCACTGACTGGCAGGTGCATGGAAGCATTGACAGAGAAGCCACGCGTATCTGTGCAGCACGCACGGTGAAGAAGCCAGCTGTTTGGTGGGTTAGGTAAAGGAGCAGTTTACGTGAAAAGTGGAACGTTGGGTGGCTTTGAAAATTGTGCTATTGAAACGCTCATGGGGTTCCGCCAAATTGTTCCAATCAAGAGAAGCCGAAAGTGCAAAAACTCCCCGACGGGGAATCGAACCCCGGTCTCCCGCGTGACAGGCGGGGATACTCACCACTATACTATCGAGGAGCGGGACGCGGCCGCTGTAAATGTAGTAATAAATAGAATGCGTTTGACTTACGTACGCTCCTTATGTTTTGCTCTTTACCAATCATGAGAGATATGGCAGGTATATATCAAAGTTCGTTTGCTGAGCCTGGTGTGCATTCATAATATTGCCACCATATGAGCAAGACTAGAAATTTGAAGGATAGATATTAGCGACACCTGGACAAGAGAAGGTGCGCATGATAACGTGTTTTGCAACGGTCGTGTTAATTAACTACCCACCACCACAGACGAAATCTCGGTGAGGATGCGACAAAGGTGCAGGCACGTCTTCGGCAGTGGCGTCAATTTGGAATAATCGCTTCAGCTGCGTGAGGACTTTACGGTAAACGGTAACGCCACGTGCATAGACGTAAGCGTATTCAAAATATGACAAACTCCAGACCCCCGTGGTCCGGCGCCGAGGCTCACTTTGTTGTGAGCTGATGATGGCGCGCGGCTCAGGACACGCTGGCGGTGACGGAGGCGCTGCTGGAGTACTCGGCGGCGCGCGACGTGCGCCGCCAGACAGACATCCAGCTGGACGTGGAGGGTGCCGACGGCCGGGGCGGCCTGCACACGGCCGCAGAGACAGCCGGCAGTCGGCAGGAGCTCGAGGTCAGGCGTAGCGCTGGGCAGGGCCTGATGGTGACCTCGGGGGTTGTCGCGGGTGTTGTATGGGAGGGTGCGCGGGAGGTTCAGATCCACGGCCTGGTGGTGTGCCTGCGAGCGACCAGTCGTGTGATTGTGTTTACTGCTGCGGGTGGTCGTGTGCGTGACCAACACGTGATCTCCGCGGACGTCTACTCGTGGCCAGGCGCCCCCCCCCCCCCCTCTCCCCCCGCTCACGGAGGACCTGACCCGTGACCCCGACCCGGCGTGCCGCCGGCAGGTGGCTGACCCGAGTGACGGCCTGAAGCTGCACCTCACCGGCTCGGGTCAGGCTGTGACTCAGCTGAGCGTGCAGTACCGGGTACCCCGGTTAGAGGAGGCGGGCCCGTTCGCACTGAACGTGGACGCCGGCCACCACAGCCCCAACGGCTCCCACGTGACCATCGGACTCTGTGTCAGGTGTGTCCCCGCCGAGCCGAGCGTGGGGCTGGCGTTAACGACCTGGTGGCGGGTTGCCTTGGGTCGGTCGCTGATGATGAGACAGGTTTTCAGATGGGTGCCCAGGCTGTAGACGGACATGTAGTTGAAAGGCAGGTCTTCTGACCACATCCTTTTTTGCGGATTGTGCCTGAGTTGGTCGCGGCGCTCCATGACCTTCCTTAAGATACGCGTCTCCGTCCATGGTGCTGACCCCCGACTTTTCTCAACGGAGTCAAACACTCATGTAACCTTTTACCGGTACATCCACGTCGTCACGCCCACCTCTCGCATGCAGACACAGCCCTCGGCTGTGCCTCGCCGCGACACTCCCGGCGGCTTCACCGGTCCAGCCTGACGCGAGCGTCGCGCCGCCGCAGGTGGAAGGCGCCCGACGGCCGGCCGTACTCGGGCGCGGCGGCCGTGTTCGTGGACGTGCCGTCCGGTTACGGTGCGTCGCCGGCCGTGCTGCGCCAGTACGTGCACAGCGGCCTGGTGCCCGGTCTCGTGTCGGCAGAGCTCACCAAGCAGCACCAGCTGGCGCTCGTCTACAGCTCGGTAAGGCGCCAGGCGGCATGACAACGCGCCGGTTGTCATGGCAGCACGCGGCTGTCCCCGGCAGATAGCGGGCCAATAGCCGTCCGAGTTTGAGATGTAGCACGTAGATGTTTCTTGCTCCTGCACGTGTCGAGTTGGCAGCTCTGGCTTATAGCCGTGTCAAAAGCCGTGCCGCGTATTCGGCGGTCCAGTCGAAGTGAAACCGCTCAGCGAGTGTGGTTGTTTGATGTGTGTTCTCAGGCTGTGTACCGATCGGAGCAGCTGACGATGGTTTTACTTAGAGAGCACTGTAGTGCTTCAATGAAAATGTCGCGGGGTTGTAGACGAGGGGGCTAAACTAATCAGATGATTGTGGATTCAGGTCTTACAATACAGTAAATTGACGTTCCTCTTCACCGCCGGCAAGGTATTTGCAAACGGTTCATTCCTAAGTCCTCTGAAGCTGGACTGTTTCGGGCGTTGTATTAGTAGTTGGTGCCGGTGAGGACTGTTCCGGGCGTTGCATCAGCAGTTGGTGCCGGTGAGGACTGTTCCGGGCGTTGCATCAGTAGTTGGTGTCGGTGAGGACTGTTCCGGGCGTTGCATCAGCAGTTGGTGCCGGTGGGGACTGTTCCGGGCGTTGCATCAGTAGTTGGTGCCGGTGAGGACTGTTCCGGGCGCTGTTAGTAGTTGGTGCCCATGAGTGCCGATCCTGCCGTGCCGAGCGCCCATGCCAGGCTGGCGGCGGCGCTTCCCGCTCCGCCCGCGCCGCCTGTCGTCATGACAATGTCGGTTGTCGCCGGTAGCTGACGGACGAGTCAGTGTGCGCTCGGCTGACGGTGGTGCGCTGGTTCGCCGTGGCCAACACGTCGCGTGCCCTCTCTGCCACCGTCTACCAGCTGCACCAGCCAGGTAACGGGGGTCGGCGGCGGCTCTGCCCGGTCGCCCCGTGGTCTTGATGATAGATGTGATTATCGTCATTTTTGTTATTGTGTTTATTGGCTTGATGTCGTGACTAAGGAAGGAGACATGGAACAGGGCGGTAGCAGAGCTTTCGGTTATGTCGGTGTCGAAAGAAGCCATGGACTACCACGAGCGAGGTTGAAACTCCTCAAGGGTCAAGGGGCGAGGGTAAAGTCACATTGCGGAACGAAAAAGGTTTATTTCCTGGACGAAGCGCCCGTTTAATGTACGCGAAAGATAAGCCGAAGAATGACTCGAAACTTGACCGTTATTACCAGCTAACCCCGTAACTTGCAAGATGTAACCACGTTTAACGGTCCATCCATGGCGGTTTTCTCCGCCGGCTTTCTGTATCTTCTGTACGTTGTTTCGGAACGTCTGCGGCAACAAGCTGGCCGCCGGCGGTCAGACGGCGCCTGGCCTTCGCCAGCTGACCCGCCGCGCTGTCGTTGCAGAGCACCGCACGAGCACCATGTTCGACGTGTCGGAGCTGTCGCGGTACGGCCTCTGCGACCTGTGCGGCAGCTACCAGTGCGCGCGCTGCTCGGTGGCGAGCCGCTCGGGCGGCGCGGCGCGCGGCCCGACCGCGCTGGCCGTGCTGGCGCCGCCGCTGCTGGTGCCGCTGCTGCTCAGGGTCTGCAGGTGACCCAGCCGCCAGTGAGCGCCGTGGGCGCGCCTGGACTGACGCGGAGGCCTGGCGTCACCCGCCGGGGCACGAGGCTATGCAATGTCGGTGTCGCGCCGCCGGGCTGGTGGGCGGGCGGAGCACGAGGCGCTCTGGTTTAAAATCCCGCGGGGTGTTTGTATTTTATTGTGCAGATTCCACGTTTATTGACTTTGTTGTGGCGTGCGGAGAGACGCAACGCGCCTCGCTTTACGGCCGCCGGACCGTGCCAAACTGAGTTCGCGATGCTGCGTTTTCGTTTCTGCGCGGCTGTTGCTCGCCGACGGCGACTGATGTGAAATCTCACTGCCACTGCGGCGCCGAGAAGGACGCTCGTTTGCGTGGCACCGCTGACCAAGACATCGAACAGACCATTTCCACGGTGATGCTGCCCGATCGCTCCGGCCGACTGCGCTTTTGATGAGAGCCCGAGGCGACGATGGCAAATTTCCAGTTACGTCATGTTGAGTCCGTCGGACGGCAGGGGCCGTCACCAGTACGCTGATGGAACACTGTGAGCTGACTTCGGTCCGTGTCGAGACGAGTGATACGGCGAAGCGCGAACGTGCGACACGAACTTGATGTATTCTAGTCAGTGGATGACCCTCGCGGAGCGGCCGTGGTCCGGCTGCTGGTCTCGAAGGCTGCGAGCGACGGTCTCGGCTGCTGCTTTAGGTGCATCTCTGTGCCTGTTTAGCTGTAAAGCTAGTATTTATTAATTAGCCCACTGTACAGTCGCCAAGGATTATTTGTATACGTTAATACAGTCGAGTATGCTTTGCTGGTGGTCTGTTTTAGTCTGACGTTTCGCGGGATGGGTGGGGCCAGGCACAACCGGACGGCATTGCATGGTGAGCAGAGCCTGCTTGACTGATGAAAGATGTGCATATGCCTTAAGGGGTTTGTTTCACACCTCTAACGTGGTCCGGCTGCGGATGGGACTTCTGGGCTCAGGTACGCGGTCCTTTGACTTCAGCTTGGTGTAGTACCTTGCATGGAGTTTGGACGTTTCGCGATCCCTGATGGAATCTGGGAACGTTTTTTGATGCCCTATACAACTCAGGTTTTGGGGCACCAATGTGTGTTCTCAGGTTTTGATGTGCGTCTCTATGCCTGGGCTTTAAACGCCCGTTACCTGGCGTTTGGGGCGTCCCTCATCCTCGGATTGGAATGTCGCCCCTTTGCTAAAGCATGAGGGTGCACTTCGACCTACCGCCTGTCGTGTCATCTACTTGGGTTAGGTAGGATACCTTTGACGCTAGTGCCCGGCTCCCCACGCGGTCCCTACGGACGCCTGTCCATCTTGACTATGAGTCACTGTCCTGCTATGGCGCCCTCGTTTGGATTCACTGTAGGCTGTGCAGGGTGCATCGTTGATAGAAAAGGCGTCAGAACTTCACACGTGAAGGAATGATTCCCGCTCAATGGATGAACCAATGGATACCAAGTACAAGAATGGGGCGAAAGATATGCTGTGCAGGACCGTGTAAGAAGGTGCATTATCAGAAGCAGTTTAGTACATGAACGCCGGCCAGGGGCCAGCAGGAATGTCGACACGTACATAAGCTCACAGGATTCAGCGCAAACCACCATTTCCCGGTACCGGCAGTCCTGCATCACCAGCTTAAGAACCAATGATCGCTGCATAAGGGTAATGCCGGTGTATTCATCGAGGGCCTAGCGTGCACCCGAAGTAGTAGAACGTGCTTCCTTTTGTTGTCCATTGGAGTTGACGGGCGCCGACTGCGGTGATCATTTGGCGCCCATAACGAGTTTTGTTTTATATAACTAATGAGCCGCGTAAATGGTCCCAAAGTTGATGTGTTTGAGAAGCAAAGAGACCTGTTGAAATCCAAGAAATTGTGAGTTGCCTCCTAGTTTATCACAGAGGGTAAGCGGCGTCATGCTGTCCGAAGTAACGTTGACGTTCTTCCACGGGGCGCGGACAAGATATAAGGACATGGCGGACGGTAAGGACAGCGCCACATCGATGGCGGATGGGCTTATCGGCTCCCTCCAACATATAGCCGTGGGTTGCGTACGTGTACCCAATACGTAATCTGCAGAGGATTACCTCTTCTCGCCTCACTTTGCGGAAACAAGAGAGCCGCTGACCCAGCTTAGGTTTTATCGCTCTAAGCTTATTGACATCCATCCCATGCCAACAGCGCTGCCACTCTCTGTGTAGGAAAGTTTTTGTTGTAGGGTAAAAGTCCCTAGCAGGTATAAAAAGAGAGCGAACACATGGAGCCAGTGCTGCTCGCCTGGCAGCCGCGTCAGCCAACTCGATGCCCGCGATTTCAACAAGACTAGGGGTCCAACATAACACGACTTTCTTACCGGCATGATCCAGTTGAGTCAAACGAATTAAAATGTCCTGCATAAGGGGACATGATGGATAACAAGACTACACTAAGAACGCTGCTCAGCGAGTACGTCAAGATGGGATGTTAAGGTTCGTCACTGGCTTCAATGAAACATAGCGCCTTAGTGATTGCTATTAGCTCCGATGTGAGCACCGACACGTTGGGGGGCAATGAAAACGACCGGATGACGCCACCGCTCACAAACACACAGTTTACATCATCAGAAGTGTTTGAGCCGTCCATGTAAGTATGTGTGTAACCCTCATATGACGCCATGCGCTCAAGCGCTCTGGACCTCATTACATCTGGCAGCGAGACATTCTTTTTCATTTCGGTCAGGGATGTGTCTGTTGAGGGCGAGAACAAATGCCAGGGAGGAGTGCGCAGATGACTGATCGCTTCACCCTTCGAATGGGAATTTTGTTTTCCCGCAGTAAGGCTTGTTTCGGGGGGCCAAAGGTCACAGCGTGCGCCCGAGGTGCATGGCAAACAAAAGGCACATCAGGCCGCGGAAAAACTGCGCTATATGCGGAATGCCACGGGAACTGCCGCAGCTTAAGTGCATAATGCATACCGAGCATTTTCCTCCTCGCTGACAACGGCGGCTCGTGTGATTCTACCAAGAGGCTTCGGGTAGGAGATGTACGGGACGCCCCTGTGATGGCACATAGAATGGTGTGATGAATGGTGTCAATGATGAGTTTTGTGAATTCACACGCGCTGTCATAAATAAAACATGCATAGTCAAGCTTAGAGCGCATGAATGCCCGATACAGCAGCAAAAGCGTGCTCCGATCTCCCCCATACGATGTGCACGAAACACATTTGTATACGTTACGAGATTTAAAACAGCGTTCACGTAGTGTCTTAGATTTACCTTATATGTTAGTCGGCGGTCAATGTATACTCCAAGGTATCTAGCTACAGGCTCATTTTGAATGCATTGCCATGCAGACGGATGGGCAGGTCACCGCATTGCCGGCTACGACAAAAATGTATGGCTACAGTCTTGCTACTTGAAAACCTGAACCTGTTCACGGTACCCCACTTCTCAACACGGTCCACAGCCAACTGGAGTTGGCGCTCCATCGATGGTGGTCTTGCTGCGCTAGTCCAAATGGTTAAAGCATCAACAAAAACGGCACGACCTGCAGACTGCGGCAGCCCAATGCCAACGTCGTTAATCATAACGGCGAACAAAGCTACGCTCAGAACGCCGCCTTGGGGCACACCGTTAAGATGAAAATGTCTCTCAGAGAGCGCGTTCCCAACACGGACGCAGAAAGAGCGGTCAGCTAAAAAGTTTTGAAGAAAGACGCCCATATGTCCACGTTTACCATACCTTTATAGCTTAAGAAGAATGCCCTGACGCCATGTGGCGTCATAGGCGCCCTCTACGTCAAAGAATACTGTGCCTATGTGTCCGTTTGCTTTAAATCCTACATGAATCACAGTGCCAAGAGCTAAAAGATTGTCCACTGTGCTGCGATTTTTTTCTAAAACCACACTGGGCGTTTGTAAAAACGCCGTGATGTTCCAAAAACCAAGTTAAACGGACAGTAACTATCTTCTCTATTAGCTTAGAGAGCGATGAAGTAAGAGAAATGGGTATATAATGTAACGGATCTAATCCACTTTTACCCGGTTTTAAAAGAAGAACGACAGAAGCTTCTCGCCAAGACGCTGGAAAATCACTAACGGTCCAAAGTGCATTAAAGACCGCTCCAAGAGCGCGAGGCACGCAAGGCGGCAGATGCTTGATCATATCGTTGTGCATATTGTCCGGACCCTCCGACACGCTGCGAAACTTGTCAATCGCCTATTCCAACTCGCCCAGGGTGAATGGGTCATTATGGGAACGTAATTCACCCGTCGAAAAATCCACTGCGGATCGCTCACATTGCGTTCGATGCCGCACAAACTGTGGATTTGTATTGCTCCCCACGCTGCGGTGGGCCAGCGCCCGGACAATCTCGTCGACAACATCCAACGGGCGCGTCACAGCTTGTCCATTCACACATAGTACCGGAAAAGCCATGGATGAAATCTGCCCCGATATATGCTTGATCCGAGACCAAATCTGCGATGTTGGCGTGAACCGGTTCAGCGTCCTTACGTAGGCATGCCAGGAAGCACGCTTCGCCTCCCTTACAGTGCGCCGAGTAGAGGCTCTCGCCTTCTTAAAGGTTATCAGGTTTTCTGCGCTGTTCCTGGCGTCAAAAGCCCGAAACGCCCGTTTACGCGCCCGGATGGCGCTCCGACACTCCTCCGTCCACCACGGAACAGGAGTGCGCCGGGGAGCGCCAGACGTGCGTTGGATACAACTGTTGGCACACTTTAAAAGTCTGTGTGTAAAATCCTCAATAGGGGTGGCGTCCTCTCAGGCTCAGTTACAAACGATTCTTCAAGCCGAGTCTCAACTTCGCACCAGTCCGCTTTCTCAAAATTCCGGCGTTGTGGCCTAACACCCAACACTCCACCTCCCTTAAACCGGACCCACGCTGGGAATTGGTCACGTCCCATGGGGTCATCTCCGACACTCCACTCGGGGTGTTGGACGAGCTGGGCACTGGAGAGGCTTAAGTCTAGCGCTGACGTCTGATCGGATGGCATTGTAAAATGTGTACGAGTTTCTGTGTTTAAAATACATAGTGAAGCACCTTGGATAAAACTCTCACACACTCTCCCGCGAGCATTGGTGACGTCACACCCGCATGCGGTGTGATGCGTATTAAAATCGCATAGAAGAAGACGTGGTGGAGCCAGTTCAGACAGCAGGCATCTAAGGTCCACGAACGGAAAAGCGACGCCTGGTGGAAGGTAAAGGGAACAAGCGGTGATGTGACGATTGAAATAAAGCCACACGGCCACAGCCTGAAGTGTGGACCGCAAGCTTAACCTCCTCGCTGGCACGCTATGATGAACTGCAAGGAGGACACCACCGTGAGCAATGCTTTACGTCAACACGTTGCGAAACATCGCATATCCTTTCAAAGAGCAGAAATTTTCAGCCGCTAGCTTGGTCTCTTGCAGCGCCACGGCTGCAGGAGAGACCCTGCTGACGACAGCCTCGAGATCGAGGACGTTCACCCTTATTCCTCTGCAATTTCACTGTAGAAACGCTTGTAATAGGACACACTAAAAAAGCGTTAAGCTGTGAAAAGCTAACACAAATCCCGGCTTAAAAGAACTCGACTGCGCCAGTTGTAAGCCTAAACGTCTCAGACCGAGAGCCACGGCTTAGCTCCGGGGGGCCGTGCCCCACCCTAGGACGAATCCTTGGTCTGCCTCCGTCAAATGGAGAAGGGCGTACGCCAGCGCCAGCGTACCCAGTCCGGGGTGGAGGCGGGGAAGGGCCCATCGGTGGGCCTCTGCGGGGGTCCGAGAGATCAGTGGGGGCCTCCACCGGCCTCCGTGGCGATGGAGTGCTGTTTCGGGGGACGGGCTCTTTGTCTGCCCCGGACGGACGGCTTGCCGCCTTAGCACGCTCCAGTTCGGCCAAGCGCGCTCGCTTGGCTTCGCGGGCGCGCCTGTCAGCTTCCTGGCGCTTCAAGGTCTCTGCCACACGCTCACAGGCACTGGCAAGAGGTGTCTGTAGCGAAAGGACCGATTGAGTCGCAGACGAAGGGGCGGCTGATGGCGCACGGGGACTCCGACCACGCCGAGCCGTCGTCCAACTGTCGCCCGTTGGTGATCCATCGCGCACCGAGGAGGCCAGCAGAGCGGTGTCTACCGACTGCTCGATCGGCGAGGAGGGAGCTTGGAGTGTTGGCTGGGAGTCGGGCGTTCGGACCGAGGGAACAACCGACAGGCCAAACGACCTCAGAAGTCCCACGAACTGAACTGCCGTCATGTGCTCGATGGTATTACTTGGCAACGGTAGCAACGATGGCAACGAAGTTTTCACTTTGGGCGCATACGATATTTTGGGGTGGTTGTCCTTGCAAAGTTCACGAGAAGAGACCTTTTTAGAGGTTTTAACCGATATAATCTCATTTTCTTTCGTGTAGGACGGGCATGTTCGGTCGAACGTCGTGTGTGGGACTTGGTCCTTGTCGCAGTTGACGCAATGGGGTTCAGCAGAGGTGCAAACTTCATTCGTGTGCTCGGATGACGCACATTTATCACATGCTGGGCGGTTACGACAATGAAGTTTAGTGTGGCCAAATCGCTGGTATTGGTGGCACCGCATGGGGTTAGGCACATAAGGGCGAACCTTCTTTCGAGCGTATCCCACACGTATCTCGGCCAGCAAATCAGTGGAACTAAAAGCCAGAATCAGGTTGTTGGTGGGCATCAGCTCTCCTCCTCGTCTTACGAGAATCCTACCAGCGCTCGTCAGGCCAAACTCTGATAGTTCCCCGACTATCTCGTCCTCGGCGACGTCAGGGAGCTCAAAACAACTGACCACGCCCCTGGACGAATTTTGGTCTTATGTGGTGTTGCTGATGTGGACACGGTCCTTTCGTGCTTACCAGTCTCATCCGGAACATTATACGTACATTCCTCAGCTGCCATAGCCCTGCTCGCCTCCAGTCCATTCGCGAACTCTACTTCTATTTTTCTATCCCTGAGCTTGTCGCATATGATGATTTCCTCAAGCCTGTCGCAGCCCTTCCGCCTTTGAAACGGTGAGAGGGAGGCCAGCTTGATCTCATCAATACCGAAGATCAGGTTCCATGGACGGGGGGGGGGGACAGATTCTTCTCTGCATCCAGAGATTATCGAGGTCCGTCCCCTTTTCGGAGGACGGATGTTTTTAAGGTGAGAAAGCTTCATAAAAGGTGGTTTTAATTTCGGCACCGGGGCTCCCCACCCACCACGGGGGCCAACTGGGGGACGGCCCAACGCTCCCTCGGGAAGTGGTCGCCGCCCGGGGCTACCCCGGCGCTATAGAGGGCGAACGACGCCTCCCACATAGCCAGGTGTAACCGGGGAGACCGCTCCCCATCCCGACCGTGGTTCAGCGCCGCCACCCCTTGACCCCTGAAGCCGCTGCGCACGGCCAGGCGCCCAAGCGGAGACCCGCACGGAGCACCCACCCGCAGGGCAAGCGACAAGCCGCTAGACCCGCGTGTGGCCCCACGGGCTCCCGCGACCCCGGATATCCTGGCCGAAGTGGAGTGTTGGGATGCGCCGTGACTGACCCGCACGACGCGCCCCTCAGCCACCAGGATCCAATCGACTCGGGGACGCGGACTAGATGGCACAGCGACCCCGATAAAACGAGGATTAGGAGTGATGAGTGGGCCGGATGCGGGAAAGCAGGCAATGGGAAGGGAGCGGGCGGGACAAGGAGCGGGAGCTCACATACCGGCAGGGTCGCTTAGCCCTGAGAGGAACAGCTTACGCTGCCCACCTGTTACCGGAGTTGGGGCCCGAGCGGGCGCTAGTCCCCACACCGGCCGAAGCCGGTGCCCCTGCGAGGTACAGCGAGACCCAGATAAGACTGGACAGTGGGGCCGAGGAGTTGCTAATCCCTACTCTGAACGAGTCAAAGCCCTTGCGGGAGGCACGTTTCGTCTCGCCCCTCCCCCTTGGCCGGAAGGAGCGCTTTACAAGCCTCCCCAACTGCCGCAGGATCATTGGGGCACACAATCCTCCCACCACGGAAATATCTTGCTTCACGAGGGGGGGGGGGGGCTTCCGGCTTCCGTTACCGGCTGTCGATGTTCTTTGGGCGGGGGCGGAGTGCACGGCATGACCGACGCGTAACCAGGTAGAGGGAGGATTCACAAATGGTTGAATGTCAGTTAATGGCATTGAGAAAAACCGGTGTAGTTATCAAAATGAGGTAAGCTGAGTTGTTTCTCAGTGGTCTCGCAAAGGCCCTGTTTCGGTCGATGATGGCCCTCGAAAAACAGCCACTTCATCAAAAAATGTCCCTGATGAGAGTCAGATGCGCCGCATATGTGACGTTTTCTTCTAAACATATGACTACTGTCACTTACAGTTTGCTGCTATTTTGTTTGTAAAATGACGAATAAAAGGATAAATGTAACTTTTCGCTAAATAAGCGCTGTAATTTTTTTGCTATTCACATGCAGATTTATTTCAAATATAACATTTTGCACTGTTTAAGTGTTTAATTACCTTCTAATAAGACAATGACGCAATCATACCCATTGGAATATCCGAGGACGTTTAGCCCTTCGATCGGCTTCTGATTAGAACACGTCTGTTAGGGACCACGGGCTGAGAGCAACGCGAAAAAGACGGCGGGGTAGTGCGGTGTGGCCGGCAGCTGGGGAGGATCTTTCGTATAGGATAGGATTTCTTGTGAGTAGCGTTCATCTGATGTGATTTTTGTTGGCCTGTTAAATAAGGTGTATTTAGTTGATTAAAATCATGGCTGTTTTTACTGTCTGAAGTGCTGGCGGGAGAAACCTAGGAGCAACGTTTGGCGCCCGGAAAGTAGGCATAAGGCTCATGATTGAATGGTAAAGCGACTGATGAACTGTTGGCACACCATGCAGAGTATTTGGATTGGACCTGGTAGGTAGTGGTAGGTAGTTGTCTTGATTTCACTTGAGACACACACTGGTTATATATAATTTGAAGGATAGGGAGCTGTTTGAAGGAATGAGGGCATTTTAGCACACTTTCCATGTGAAGCTACTGTTGTAATCTTACATTTCAAGATTATGGGTCTGATGAGTCCTCTGCCTGGCTATGGCATGAGACACAACAGCAATATTGCTTAATTCCAAGCCAATAGTGTTGGATGTAAGACCAAGATGGATGGTCTGTTCCTGATAATGTGATAAATTCCATTTTCTTTGTATGCTGGGTGTGAGTGTAGCTTCTTCTATGTGACCTGCCAGTATGCAAATTATATAAGGCATCAAAGCTAACAAGCTTCAGTTTCGCATCAGTTGCAGCGCAGAACAGATTTGTTCTGGGGTGGAGTCATTGTATGGTAAAGAATTAATCAAGTTTGTGTGGGGTTTGGCTGTAAATGATTCCTTTCATAAATGTTGAGGGTCAGAGTTAAGTCAACCAACTTGTCATGTAGTCAACTCAAATTTAAACACCTATGGGTGTACAAAATGCAGTGCATGCATGCACAGCTGCATTGTTACTAAAATATTTATGAAGCCCATAGATGAGGTATCTCCTTGCTAGATTGTCATCACAAGAGTTGACTCCATTAGAAGTAATTCAATGGCTGTGTCATATGTTCTATAGTCAAAAGCAGAGCTGACTCAATGCTTTACCAAGCTGCTTGGAGTCACAATCAACAAGGTATGCACTGGGTGAGAGGCAGACCTGGTTACCCTGAATTGAAATTAAAAATGAGATGTTTGGAAATGTTTGCATTCATTGGTAAAAAGGATTTTTCTGTGGCCTAAAAAAAGTTGTCATATTCTTTGCTGACACTACCAATTATCTATATCCAGCATCATGGTAGGCATAGATAATCTACATATAGACCAAGCTGGCAGCATGGCTTGTGCCAATGTAAAATGTGATATGTGAGATACTGTGCATATCACAGGAGACACCTAGAATTATTTTCTCATGAGTGATGTATCTCAGAAGCATAGAAACATAATGCATCAAAGTGAAAATGAACACTGGCCCTCTCACAGCTCACAGATTTTGTGCACTAAAAATGAGCATTCTCTACTCCAAAACAAAAAAGGCATGCACTGCCCCATGCTCTCTGAATTCAAGGCAGTTTATCCACTGCACTGTCCTTAAGCATTAAGTGATGTGGACATATCTGTTAACTCCTGCCTGTGTTCTTGCAGTAGGCAGTAGTTCTCACAAAAAGTTGTGACCTAAGGAATGAAATGGATTTCCTTGAAAAACAAGAGACAACCAATAATTAACAACTTTTGTCATACTTCTGGATTTGCAAATGCTGAATGTTTTACAGAGAGCACTCCCCATACCCAGCCTTGCCATCGTTTGTGCGCGAACAAAGGCCCAGTGTGTGGCCGGCGCCACGCGTCCTGCGCCACTCGTCCCGACATTGACGCTATGTCGTGTCTTCTGGGTGCTGACAGGGACGGCCGCGCGTCCTGCGATGAGGAAGCGCGCCACTGACGGAATGGCGAAGGACGCGGCGCCGGCGCCGGCCGAGCACCCCGGCGGCGGCCTGACCGGCGACCTGGCCAATATCTGCCTGCTGCTGTTGCTGTACGTGCTGCAGGGCATCCCGCTGGGCCTGGCCGCCGCCATCCCGATGATGCTGCAGAACCGCGGCGTCACCTACTCCGAGCAGGCCGAGTTCAGCTTCGTCTACTGGCCGTTCAGCTTGAAGCTGCTCTGGGCGCCGGTGGTGGACGCCTGCTACGTGGGCCGCTTCGGCCGACGCAAGTCGTGGCTGGTGCCCGTGCAGTACGTGATCGGGGCGTTCATGATAATGCTGTCTGGCCGCGCCGAGAGCCTGATCGGCGGCGCCGACGAGCGGCCCAACGTGGCGCTGCTCACGGCCGTTTTCTTCTCGCTCAACTTCCTGGCGGCCACCCAGGACATCGCCGTCGATGGCTGGGCGTTGACCATCCTGCAGAAGCGCAACCTCGGCCACGCCAGCACGTGTAACAGCGTCGGTCAGAGCGCCGGCTACTTTCTCGGCTTCGTCGTGTTCATCGCGCTCGAGTCGGCCGAGTTCTGCAACAAGTACCTGCGCGCCGCGCCTCAGCCGCACGGCCTCGTCACGTTCTCTGGTGAGTGACGGCCGTTCGCGCGCATGGCGCCGGTGGCCGTGGCCGTGGCACGCTTTGCGGGGACCTAGTGTTTGCTGCTTGCTTGGTGGCATGCGCTGTGGCGTTTTTTTGTTGTTGAAAAGTGTAGTGTTTTGTAGCTGTTGTCCTTTATGATATGCTGTTCGGTAAATGGATACCTGTTCTTAGCAGTTGGTATGCTCTGTGACTCTCCTTTTTGGTTCTGTTTCTGTGTGGTCTGGGCACGTTGCGGGGTTGTTGAATGCTCAGTGGATCTGATCTGGCGGGGCGTGCGCCAGAGTTGTTGAATGCTCAGTGGATCTGATCTGGCGGGGCGTGCGCCAGAGTTGTTGAATGCTCAGTGGATCTGATCTGGCGGGGCGTGCGCCAGAGTTGTTGAATGCTCAGTGGATCTGATCTGGCGGGGCGTGCGCCAGAGTTGTTGAATGCTCAGTGGATCTGATCTGGCGGGGCGTGCGCCAGAGTTGTTGAATGCTCAGTGGATCTGATCTGGCGGGGCGTGCGCCAGAAGCGCTTTGTTCAAACATAATTATGTAGGGTCATTGTTGGTGCAGACTCACTCATCCCGTTGGTTGTTATGTGGTCCTGGGGGTCCACATTGCACGAACGTTTTGCCTCCGTGTCTCGTGAACATGCCGCATTTCGTGAGAACAGTACTGGGCCTGGTGACGTAGTGCTTCTGCGTGTCGCTTATATCGGTCCAGTTTTAAAAACAGGCTTTGATAGGCTGATGACCTGATTTGCTAATTTTGGGAATGTCCACATGTCGCAACGACTGTTGCGTTCGGCCGTCAGCACTTAAACTATGGTGCTTTCCATTCATCAACCTTTATAAACTGGGACGGCCCATCGCAATGCGCTATCTCATTGGCATTTACTCAAATGTTTACATCGTAATCCTTCATTTGCCTTGTGGTTCATAGCCGTTAGTGGGCGGCGAGAGTTGTCGCCTGTGTGTTAACACCTTGCGCACACCTTTTCGCTGCAGGCTTCATGCTGTTCTGGGGCGTGGTGTTCCTGCTGACCACCACAATGGTGATGCTGGTGAAGCGCGAGTCGCCGCTGAACCGGGACGGCACGCGCGACCCCGAGATGAGCGTGACCCAGACGTACTCGCAGCTGGTGCGCATCACGCGGCTCAAGCCCGTTCGCACGCTCATTGCCATACTGCTCACCGTCAAGGTGAGATGGGGTCTGCTCAAGGGCGACGAACAACCGGTGACAGTGCTGTGCCTTGGTTTGCAGGATGCTGTCCTAATGATGACCTGACCACCTTCTGTGACAGTCATGTTGTAGCGGCTTCCTCATCCCTGATGGTGTTGTGATGCGTGACAGCTACGTCTTTACTCGTGTCGCCGCTCGGTGGTGTCTGTCTCCATGTGCCAAATGGTGCTCTTCGTGACACGCACGCTCAGACTCCTGTCTGTCCGGACGCCAGGCGGACAGACAGGAGTTCTCAGTGCCGCGCACGCTCTGACCCCCGTCTGCCCTAGCGACGGGTGGTGCTCTCTGTGACACGCACACTCTGACCCCTGCTCGCCCGGGCATTTGGCGGTGCCCTGTGTGACACGCACGCTCTGACCCCTGTCTACCCATAAGTTAGGTGGTGCCCTGTGCGACGCGCACGCGCACGCTCTGACCGCTGTCTGTCCGGACATCTGGCGGTGCCCTGTGTGACACGCACGCTCTGACCCCTGTCTACCCATAAGTTAGGTGGTGCCCTGTGCGACGCGCACGCTCTGACCGCTGTCTGTCCGGACATCTGGCGGTGCCCTGTGTGACACGCACGCTCTGACCCCTGTCTACCCATAAGTTAGGTGGTGCCCTGTGCGACGCGCACGCTCTGACCGCTGTCTGTCCGGACATCTGGCGGTGCCCTGTGTGACACGCACGCTCTGACCCCTGTCTACCCATAAGTTAGGTGGTGCCCTGTGCGACGCGCACGCTCTGACCGCTGTCTGTCCGGACATCTGGCGGTGCCCTGTGTGACACGCACGCTCTGACCCCTGTCTACCCATAAGTTAGGTGGTGCCCTGTGTGACACGCACGCTCTGACCCCCGTCTACCCGTACGTTAGGCGGTGCCCTGTGTGACACGCACGCTCTGACCGCTGTCTGTCCGGACATCTGGCGGTGCCCTGTGTGACACGCACGCTCTGACCCCTGTCTACCCATAAGTTAGGTGGTGCCCTGTGCGACGCGCACGCTCTGACCGCTGTCTGTCCGGACATTTGGCAGTGCCCTGTGTGACACGCACGCTCTGACCCCTGCCTACCTGGATGTTAGGCGGTGATCTCCTTGAAACGCACGCTCTGACCCCTGTCTGCCCGGATGCCAGGCCGTGCCCTCCGTGACAGGCACACACTCTGACCGTGTCTGCTGGGACGCCAGGTGGGGTTCGCGGCCGCTGATGCCGTGACCGGCCTGAAGCTGATCGAGGCCGGCGTGCCCAAGGACCGACTGGCATTGATGGCCGTTCCCATGAGCCCGCTGCAGATCATCCTGCCGCTGGCCATCAGCAAGTACACTGCCGGGCCGCGGCCCATGAGCCTCTTCCTCGGCGCCATGCCCTGGAGGTCAGTCGCGGCGGGTGGTGCCGCCGTGACCGCGGCTTGGAAACGGGTGCTGGAAACGGGTGCTGGTTTGGCCCGGGTTTCAGTTTGCGGAGCGTGTCCTCGTGACGGGAGATGGGTCGCCGAGACGTGCTGCTGTGATCGGGGAGGAGTTTGTCCCGACTTGGCGGGTGAATGACGCGAGCGGCGCTGCTGCTGTGTTCGGAAGTTGAAGCGGTGGGGCCGCATCTCGTATGAGGACTGAGCTGTGCTCTGATCTCGAAAGCTGGCCGTGACGTGTCCTCCGAGCGGACACAGCGGGCTGGCATTGCTCATAGGTCATGCATGTGATGTTATCAAAGCGGACTTCCCACGGCTGCTAACACACTCTGACCCCTGCTAACACGCGACGGCAGCACATGCGCACTGCAAGCCTGGCGCCCTGGCGTCCGCCTCCGACACTAACAGTTGGCGCCGCGTCCGCCAGGCTGCTCTTCGGTCTGGTGATGGCCGGCCTGGTGTACGTGACGCCGTTGTTCCGGCTGGAGGACGCCTCGTTCCCGCTCAGCTACTACGGGCTCATCCTGGCCGTGTTCGTGCTGCATCAGGTCACGCTTTACTCTATGTTCGTGTCGGTGATGGCGTTCTTCGCCCGCATCTCCGACCCGGCCATGGGCGGCACGTACATGACGCTGCTCAACACCGTCACCAACCTGGGTGAGTAGCCGCGGCGGCGCCGTAGTCCCAGCCCGGGCCGTCGGGCGCTGGGGGTTGGCTCGAGCGGCCCCATGTGGAACGCCTCTGATGCAGGGAGGGTTGGCTAACGTTCTGACGTTTATTTACGTAAGCTACTGCTCGGAGCGGTATTATGTTGATGTTCCCTCTTATGCTGGGTACTGCAGTACTTGTAATGCCCGTTGCGACGTATTTACTCGTCTAGCCTTTCCTGGCAGCTAAACCTGTATTGGTTGGCATTTTCATTATGTAATCAACCGGGCTTGAGGCCTTTGTCGCGAATGCCGTCAAATGAGTGTCGCGATGACTCGCTATGGGGGACAGGGGTTCGAATCCAGGTTGTGCCATTGCCCATGAGAGCCGCCCCGCTGAAAAAGCGTGATGTGCGTCATCTTTGCGTTAGGGTGTGATCATGTTGCCGGGATCCACGCAATCAATCAGCTTCCCAGGGCACCACACCGTCACCGCTGTCCGCCCCCGGCCCACATCGGTACCCCTCCTCGGCTGTCGCCCGTTGGACCCGTCCATCCCGTCTGTGGCCGGTGCGCCGCACCTCTGTGACGCGTGCGCCTTAAGCTGGCTGACCGCTCCTCTCGGACCCCGAAAGGTGGCAACTGGCCGGCCACGCTCATGCTCTGGATGGTGGACCGGCTGACCTGGAGGGCCTGCGCCGGCGGCGGCGGCGGCGGCGGCGGCGGCGGCGGCGGCGGTGGTGGAGGTGGCCCTTGCGGTAGTGACCAGGTGAGACCCGCTCCAGCCCACTCCGCCCCGCTCCCGGCAGACGGGCGGCCGCCGGTGGTGTGGTCGGCCGGCCATTGTCGGGGCTCGGCGGCGGCTGCCAATGCCGCGACCGTCTCGGGCCGGTCCGGCCGCGGCCACCCAGTTCCAGAGGCTCAGCGGCGACGCCCGCCGGCCGTCGCTGGGCTTTGACGCGCCGTGTGGGGAAAAGCGGCCCCGCTGACGCAGTGCGGCGTTACGGACGTGCTTGCGACGAGCGGCCACCGTGGCTGCGTGTTGGCCGACGGTGACTGCTGTCTGTTGTGGGCTTTCCGCCATGGATACGTGGCGTCCCCATGCCGCTGTTGAAGTGGAAAAGTATCAAATTGTGAAAGCATGTATGCCGAGTTAATTCTTGTGACCGATCATGCCTGTGCTCTTGCTTATGTGGCCGCGTCCTCGTCTACGCATCCGTTCAAACCCGGGCACGGAAACGCGTGGAATGCTTTGGTTTGCGGATTGTCCGGCACATCTAGCTAATCTCTCGTTGGATGCAACGGCCACACGCGCGGTATGGCCACCGACCCGCACCTGCCCCGCCGGCTCTCGGTAACACATGGAGGCGCGCTGGAAATGTCCACTCGTTCTCTGTACGGCTGTCGCACCGCACCGCTGTATGGTCGACATGGCATGCGAGCCAGCGACGGATAAGTGACGCGCCACTGCGGTGAGAACTTTTCCAAGACATAGCCGCGCGCTCATGGCCGTTTCAAACCCAGGACGGGCGGTGCAAGTCATTCGCACTACAGTCATGGTGTGGATGTCTGCAGATGTCATGTGTTTGCGACGTAGTTTACAGACATTGATGGTCTTCAGGGTCCAAACTTTTACACTTGGTCCCCTAGTTTGTGTAACTGGTGAGATGAATCCCTCGGAGGCCGAGGATGAACGGTTTGCCACTGTTCAGAATGAGTGTCGTCAAGACTGCTGTCCACTGTTGACATACCGTCGGCCCTCGTAACCTGCCATAGCCTCTGCAGGGTCAACACGCTATTCGCAAACCTGCCAAATCGGAACCCCTCCGCCCCTGCCACTAGCAGCTCACCCCACTCCAAGTCGTGCCAGGCCAACCTGTCCATGGCCCGCTCGACCCGGGCTCGTTGCCGCGGCCAGCCCCGCCCCCGCCCCCGTCGCCGGCGCCTCAGCGACACCCGCCGTCTGCCCGACAGGACTGCGGAGAGGGCGGCTCGTGCCTCGTTAGTATGGACGGCTACTATGTGGAGAGCGCCGCCTGCGTCTGTCTCGGCTTCCTCTGGCTGCTCTGGGGCCGTCGCCGCCTGCTCGCCCTGCAGGCGCTCGACATGTCGGCCTGGAGGTGTCGGAAGGCCACCGTGTGACGTCAGCGCCGGTTAGGTTTGTGATGACGCCTGACATGTCGACCTGGCGGTGTCGGAAGGCCACCATGTGACGTCGGCTGGCGGTGGGACTCATCCCGCCGGCCCGCCGCCTCCAACACCAACACCGCAGCGCGGCGTGGGGGCTGGCTTTCAGCGTGGCAGCCCTGGCGTCGGTTGCGGGTCGGCGCCACCGCAGGCCATGCGCCGAGCGGAGCCAACCCGTCCGTGAGTGCAGCACGAACGGGCCGGCCGGCGGTGCCACGCGGGAGCTCGGGGTGCAGTTGGGCCGTCGACCGAGCCCAGCGTTTCCCGCTCTTCCTGGCCCCGTCGGTCAGTGGATAGGACCGCGAGGCGGTTGCGGGTGTCGTTTGTTCGTGAAGCGTTTGCTGTTTGATTCCTGGTGCTCAGGAGTTGGTGGAGGCGTTATTTTAGTAGCAACTGATGCATGTTGTGTTGCATTCCAAGGGTTTACGCGCTGGTGAAAGCACTTTTTGAGGGAAAACGCACGGGCACCGCAACAGGTTTGTCTTGTTTTTGTCGTGGAGTGATGCGTCCCACTACAGCACTGACAATATCATTGGCTTCCTGGCGCCTCGTATTGCATATAATGTGCTCAAAGGATATGATGCATCACCTGCGATCAGGGGAGGGGGCAGGTAGCTAAAGGAGTTTACTTTATGACGAGCGCCCTACGCGCCCAACAAATGTGCGTCGTATTCGGCCTGTTCAGTGGGATACTTTGTTCATCCATCTGCAAGACAATGACGTCCTTCTCGCTCTGGATAAGTGCAGTGCGTAAAGCTTTGTTTCCGTAAGACGTTTACAGAGTCGGGTCGAAGCGGGTAGTGACACATTGACGCAAATTCGTTGTCGTTGATCGCGATTTTAGGTCGTCGATCGCGTTGATCGCCTTCAATTTCGTCGTGTTAGGGAAAGTGTTTACTAATTTATAGTCTTCCGGGCCCCCTGGACCGCGAGTTGTGATGCTTGGTGTCGGAAGCGAGCAGGGACCACGTGCGTTGGACGCCACTTCGTGTCGGCGCGGCCACGAGCAGCTGCTGGTGCGGCCGGGCCACCCAGTGCACATATCTCAGCTCGTCGACCACCGCGGCCGCGGCCTCGCGACCCCAGCCGGGACAGCTAGTCCTTGGAACCTCGTTGAACGTTGGAACCTCGTTGAACGTGTCACTTTCGCACTACCCTCTGAACAATGAGCGCTCCGAAGGGCGCAACAGCACCCGCATCTTCCGTGGATCTGTTCCGCTAAAACAGTGCTTACACAACGATGTGTATATAAATGATGGCACACGAACATGTTGGCGCATATGCACATCGCACACACACACGTATAAAATGATGACTATGAGACGCTGTCGTGCGCAGCGAGGAAGAAAAACTCAAAGGAAGTCGCCGGTTCGACTGAAACTAGTCTAATAAAACATGTTAAAATGCGCTTCTTAAAATCTGAACATCTCGGGGATAAACGGCGTTCCCGTTCCGCCCGTTACCAGCCCCCCCCCCCCCCCCCCCACCCCCATCTCCTGCCACTGGTCCGTCGACACAACGTAGCCCCTTCTGCGTCCGCTGGAAAGCACGCCCAACAACCCACTGTTCATCTCCCACAGACAGCGCCGCCGGCTCCTACGCAATCCACGGCAATCTCTTTCCCATCCGGTGCGCGCTGCCCGCGGCCTACCCGGCCGCGCCGCCGCCCCGCTAACGCCGCTTCATGCGGCAGGTGCCGGCCGCGCAGCCCTGGCACAGGCTGGGATCGTGCTGCTGTTGCGGCCGACCGAAGCGGCGCTGCTGGCCGGACGGCGGCACCACGCGCGGCAGATCCGGGTACAGCTTGCTGGTGACCTGGACGTACAGCTCCAGCAACACCTGGATGAGGAGGGGGTGACGGTGAGACGGGTCGGCCCGGCGCCTCACGGATCGCAGAGCCTTAATCGGAAGCGGCCCGCCCGCCGCCAGTCTCCTCACCACGTGGAGGCATCCAATAGCACGCTACATATGTGCTACCCACAAACCAGTCAAACACGATTGCGCCAGAAATATGAAAAACGCCCGGCTCGCTGAGCGTCGAAATATCCGACGATCTGCAAACATGCGACATAAGTTCCAATAAAATCAAGCCAGCATTGCTGAGTGCGGAATCTGCGCTCCCCTAACCCTACTCAATCACTAAAGCCGGGCGGAAAGCCCCAGCGGGACCGTCCCTCTCGGCCCAGGCAGCTGCGGAGGAGCGGCCCTCCGGCGGCTCAGCGCCACGTTCCCAGGTCAGTTCCCCGCCAGCGTCGCCGACCGCCCGACCCAGCGGAGCTCTCCTCGCGCGCGCCGGCGCCGTCTCCTCGCGCGAACGCCCACCGCGGCGGCAGCGAGCTCGAGGCAGGAGCGGGGCGGCGCCGCGCCCGCCGTCCCGTGCTGAGGAGCGCCGCACCGGGACATCCTGCTGGCGGGCTGACCCCGGCGCGTGGTGCCGCGCCACGGCACGCCTCCGGAGAGGCCGGCGGACTCGAGCGTGGGGGTGGCTGGCCGCCCCCCCCCCCCGCCCAGGTACGCCCCGCGTGGGTAGCGGCACCCGGCGCGGGGGCGGATGCCGAGACCCGGGCGGTCCGGTTTCCCACGCTGGGTTTGCCAGGGGGAAAGCGGCTCGACGGCTCACGCTCGGCGGAGCTCGAGCGCCGGCTGGAGGCCGGGCGTGGCGCGGATTGGGAGCCTGCTCGCCAAACGGATCGGGCCGGCGCGCGAGCGTTCCACCGGCGCCGCGTGCTGACCTGCCCCAACGTGGGGAAAACCAGCGCCGACCGGCCGCCGTTCAACGAACCGGCCGGCGAGACGCCGCTGCCACCGCCGCCCCCGCCGGTTCCGGCTGCGGCCGAGATGAGCGGTGGGCGGCGGCAGGGTCATCGCACGTGACGCGCGGGGGCGGCCGGCAGGAAGCCTGCCGCCGACGCAGGGGCGACCGCAACGGTCGCGCCCACTCACCCGTCGGACCTCGTCCGGGTACCACATCGGGTTGGCGTAGCCCACGTCGTCGTCCTCGCCGCCCGCGGCGGCGGCTGCGGCAGCTCCCGCTGGCTCGGCGGCGGGGGCGGCGGCGTTGGCGGCTGGCTGTGGCTCGGTAGCCGCGCTCTGGCCGGCGGCGGTGGTGGCAGTGGCAGAGACGCGCTCGCGCAGCCGCTCGCGCACGCACACGCGGCACTTCTGGCCAAACAGCTGAAAGAAGACGGTGCCCGCGCCCGGTCCTCTGTGCAAAAAGTACTGGAAGGACACCTGGCCATGCATTGACGTCCATGCGTTGCCGCACCGGTCCTGCGGACAAACGGCGGCATCAGACGAGCCCACGCCGCGACCGCTCCCCTACGACAAAAGGGCATCATGGCGCGAAGGTGGCAACACGCTTCCAGAACATAACAGATCGCGCACAGTCGCACACTCTGGGATCCCGTTTGAGTGTAGCATCGTCAATACGCCCTCTCACGCGTGCATCCCGCCTCAGCATACAACACAAGCCGCGGCGTCTTTGTTGCACATCAAGGGCCGCGCCGCGCTGCGGCTTGCAGCCCGCACCACAGGCCCACGCGGAGCCGGGCTCCAGCCGCGGCCTCGCGCCGACAGGCACACTCACACAGCGGAATCGGATCTTGGCGGACGTGCTGTAGCACCGCCAGATGTGGCTGGGCTTGGGCGTGGACGGCGGCTGCGGCACCAGCGCCCAGTGCTGGCCCGTCTGGTTGAAGAGCTCGGCGAAGCTGGTCACCCACACCACATACATGCCACTGGAAAACGGTACAAACACGTGTCAGTCACGCCATCACGGCAGAGAGCCGACGAAAAGGCCAGATAGGAAAGGACACGGATCCGGCGAACGGCTCGATATTTGCTTTTTCACGGCCGATCCCGGAGCTGGATTCATCATGATTCCGGAATAAGCCAGCAGACGTTTCCTTTCGGAGTGCAAAATCCGACAAATGCCAACACGGCAGGACATGTCGAGCTCATCAGTGGCTGCAAGTGTTCCGGATTCGCTTTAGCAAGTCGGCGCATACCACTGTTTACTCTCACACACGCGTGATCGGCAGAGTAATATTTTCACGGTAATCAATTAATGTCCACGGCGCCGGATGTCCGGACACGTAATATACGACGTGCGAAGTTTCCAACGCGGGCGGCGCGACTGCCCCGCACCGGGACGTGCAGGGATTTGATAATAATTTTTCGTTGTCACGTATCCGATGTATCTTCCTTAAGCTGACAGTGTATAGCATTCGTAGCGAGCCATCAAGGTGACGGACCTCCCGGCCTGTCGGTCCAATGCTGACCAATCGCTCGTTGGCAAGATGACGTCACAGCGTGTGACGTCACGCGCGGTACGTCACACGGATTACCAATGCAATCGGCGAGGAGCATGCCGCGCGCCCGGCGACCAGCCGGCTCAACCACGGGCCCGATCGGTCGCGTCGCTCACGGGGCGCCTCCGCGGTGCCCCTCGACCGCAAAATCGACCGACGTCGAACCGCTCTGCACAATCAGACAGACCGCAGAACTCTGCCGTCACCCGGCGGCCATCAGGTGCGGACGGCGCCGGAAGCCGCCTGTTATCCAGCCGGCGGACGCCGTTATCCAGCCGGCGGACGCCGCAGCTGTCGCCGACACGAACGCCTCAATCAGCGAGGCGACCGCCGCGACCCCGCGCCGATCGCGGACAAAACCGCAAGAGCCGCAGCACCGGCCGCCGGAAAGGCGATCGCGCTCACCGCAGGCCGCATCGATCATCAGCCAAGTGCCGACACGGGCGGCCGCGGCCGGTGAGGAGCGTCCCCAGCTGGCCGTCCGTGGCCGGTGCGCGGGCTCCGCTCCGGCTCCGGCCGGACATGCCCTGGCCGTCGCTGCCGCATCACGCCTTCCGGTCGCACCACGCCGGCCGCCGACGGCGGAGGGCGGAGGGCGGCCGGCCTGCGGGCGCTCATCAGTTTACGTCCGCCAGGCCGCCCGCCATGCGCCGGCGCCGCTAGCTCCGCTAACAAGTCACGACGATACGGTCTGCACTGAGCGCCGGCGGCGCGACCGCGCACAGTGGCTGGTCACCATCCCCCGCCGCCGCGTCCGCCGGTGACGCTCGCTCCTCCGGTGCCCTCCAGACGCGGTGCAACGTGCCGAGAGCGTCACAGAGAGACGTCCAAACAGCGAGACAAGAGCAACAACGCGAAGGAGCGAGCGCCGGCACGGTGCGGCATGCGGCGACACAGCTCGTTAAGTAAGGGGTCCGTAGCGGCGGGTAGATACTTAGAGAAGCAGCACCCGGACACCAACGAACCGGGCAATTAATGGGCGTCGTCACAGCGAAGGACGGAGATTACGGGTAGAGCACCGGGAGGAATGCCAGGCCGCACTGCAGTGCCCAGCACGTGGCATGCCAGCCGAGACGCGAATGCATGGCTCGCTTCTCAGCGTGTGCGGCTGAGAGCTGTTAAAGGTCGATGAAAATGAGTAACTGAACAAACAAATTTATAAATAAACGAGCCTGAATCGTTCACGCCGGTGCTGCTAGTCGCTAAACCCATCTCAACCATCTCGATCTCCAACCAAAAGACCACCTCAACAAGCGGTCAGCTGATACAGGCACAACTCTGCGACGAGATGCTCAGCAACATTGTCATAGCACGGCACGGTGAGACGGCAGCAAACCACGCGCAGACGAGCTAACCTACCCGTCGATGAGCAAAGGGGTCTGCCAAGCCCGCGCACCAATCGTTCAAATCCCTGCACCAGCACAACGCGCGCGAAAGAACACCAACACCGCCGAAAACACTGTGTCGCCACATTTAGTGTAACCGATTCTGCCAGTCCCGGTACCCGTGCCCGGTTCGCCTCGACGATCAGCTCCGTCGTTATCCATGGTTACCCGCTCGAGTGTCGCCTGCCCGGATGACCTCCAGCAGCGGACGCGCCGGGCGCCAGGCCAAAGGCACCAGCGCGCCCAGGAGACACGCGGCCACTGCCTCGGGCCCGCACTCGGCCCCCTGAGACGCCTGCCAGCCTGGCGCCCACCAACTGGTCACAGCCCTCAGGGCTACGCTGACACGCGGATCCGCAGGCCACTCCTTTGAGCTGTGTCACATAAACGAGGCCCTGAAGCCTGCCTCACGTCCGGCGGCGGCGACCGGCAGCAGCGCGGGCATCCCCACATGGCGTACAGGCTCCGCACCCACCAGCGGCGCCTGGCCGACATCGGCCGGCGCGGCCGACGCTGTGGCGGCCTGTTGCTACGCGCCTCACTAAGCCCCGACACGACTGCAGGACTAGGTCGGCAATAGCGTATATACGGCCAGGACCGGAACGATAACATCTCCGTGCCGTCGGCCGCCCACCGGCTCGCAGAACTCCCATGCCAAGGCTGCTGCCCCAACCACTAAAAATAACGAGAGCGCGAACAGCCAACAAGGCGGGGCTCGAGCGCGGCGATGATGGCACAGCGCCGGCGGCGCACGCGGCGGGCCGGCCGGGCGTGTGTGGACCGCGGACCGGCTCCGCCGGCGCTACGGCGCTCCGGCCTGGCCCGACCCGTCCCGACCCGGCCGGCACAGTCGCGACAGGCCCACAGAAGCCGCGGAGACTCGGTAGCCTTGCTGGGATGGTCGGGTCAGGTGCCAGAGGGCTGACTGGCTGCGGCAGGGGACCTAAGCTGGGTCCCGTCTGGTACCGGGCAACTGGTTGGTTGGATCAGGGGACATAGGCTGGTTTGGGCCAGATGTCGGAGGACTGGTTGATTGGGTCAGAAGACATAGCCCTCGATTCAGAAGCCGGAATCCTAGCGCGACGCTGGAGGCTTCGGAGCCCACATAATCAGGGGCGTGTCATCTACAGAGGGGACATCTCTCAAAAAAGGGCGTAGCGTCAGCTGGTCCGGTGCGCTCGGGGAACGAACCGGCACTGGAATAACATTTACAAAATCGGGTGCTACGCTAAATCTTACGTAACATATCTGCGACCATCCAAACATAACAAAACATTCTTCCAGAATCTCACCGCCGCAGAGATAAAGGTCTATGTTCACGGCATTGCAATCGTACGCAGGGTTCGAATGTGGAAAATAGCCGACATCTTTACACACACTGGCTAAGCAAAGATAAGAGCAATCAATGATACATTAGGTGAAATATTCGATGTTTCCGTAGTGCTGATGGCAATGAGTGAACATTGACCAAAAATGTCTAAACCCAAAACGCACGGCGGGTTGAACGCAAGATATTCCGAATCTGTTCAACTATTATGAAAAACAAATGATTAGCCAATCGAACTGCCACGCTAACTACCACAGCATAAGCATCTATGCACGAGCTGCTAGAAACACAGAGACACTGAGATGAGCAATCCTTCAGACACCCACATCCAAGCACCGGACGTACCGTATGTATGCCATCGACTCCTAGGAACACCGGCCGCTAAGCCCGAAAGGCCCCGCTGACCCGCACTGAGCACGAGGCTGGAAACCACGTTACCAAGGACATCAGTGCTATCATTCAAGCTGCCACATTCCAACCCTGGCTACAGTGCTGTGCTGAGGGCTGCCTGCAACACAAACGGAAAAGCTCGAGTGTGAGGCTGCAAACTAACTTACCGACGGCTGGTTGGTATTAGGGCTTTCCGACGCGTCGGCTGTGCAGTCATCTCGTACCTTTAGCTTCCTAAAAGACATCGGCGTTCAAATTACCAAACAGCAAGTTTGATCCGCGCTTATATTGTCGTGCAGGCTGCTGGAATCACGATCATGACAACGTTGGAAGTATTAAGCCTAGGACTAAGATTGATAACCTACCATAACCTCGGAACATATCATCCGGCGGAGGGAGGGGAGGGGGGGGGGCATCACCGCAGGTCATGCACCACGTACCTTCGGAACCTTTCGGCTTAGCCGTCTACCATGAACACCGCTGGAAGCACTAGTATTTTATAGACCACGCGATGATTGCTTGATATCTCGTCTTGACAATTGCCTTCTGGTGTCCTGAAGGTCGGCTATTTCCAGCATACAAATTACGTTACATTTTAAGCCAGGGGTCGATAATGCCAGACCGCGTTGACCAAGCCAAAACCATGAGATACCATAGGTAATGACCAATGTACCACAGGAAAGGTGCCCGCGGTTACGGTGCGCGTCAGGGAAACAAGACGTGCGGGGTTCGATTTCTCGTGGTGCCTGCCCTTCCTGCCGGGCTGAGAAACAGGCCACGCCATGCCTCAGTCGCTGGTTGCGTCGTTAAGACGATTATGATATTTGGATTTTCGGCTACGTCTACTAGCGGTAACTTTATGGCCACTTAACTGTCACATATTCTCTATGTACTCGGTGCCTACGAGTGTTACATGCGAAGCGTGCTGTTCACCACGCTTCTCGAGTTAGGTAAGAGCTCGCGTCGTACTCCGAACGGCTGAGTACATGGAGTAAGTCCGGCTATTTTATAAGATCTAGGACTACTTAAAGCAAGTTAAGAAGTCCGTAAGGTCACGTCGTAAAGCCCCCCCCCCCCCCCCGCCCAACAACGCAATACACCACGCGACTACAAAAGCGACATGTAATCTTGACGGGGCAAAAGCGTCACCCCTTTGTGTAGAACGGGTTCGACAATTTCCTGCAGCGGCGTTGCGCCCGGATCTTTCGTCTTGCGCCTGACGCCTTCAATCGCCCGCTAACGTGCTACCTCGCACCTGCGTCAAATCCCAGCGCATCCTCCACGCCTGGCTCACTGGCCCGCACAACGCTAGCCACGCCCGGATG